ATTCTTTATAGAGAGTTCTAATAAGTTTTTTAGATTATCTGCAGATCATATTTTTTAATCTGTTGTCAAAAATGGCAATACCAATAATATACACTATTACTAAGAGATTTTATTTGAAACTAAATCTTGTTTCGCTCGGGTAAGTCCCTGGAAGCATATAAATACGAATTTATAATATTACTCGCCATTTAAGTCTCACTTCGCTCGGGTGCGTGATGCGTCCTAAGATACATTTTAAATAAAATATTATATAAGTAGTTATGAGTCAGCGTTAGCCATGTATATTTTTTTCGTATTTTTTTTTTAATTCTGCTATTCGGGGCGGAGACAAATCCAACAAATCAAAGATCCTAAAAATCGACTCAATTGTTCTCGAGTTATAAACGACTTTGTTTTATATATATATATATATATATATATATATATATATATAGATATGCAGGTAGCGCCACCTTTTGACAAATTTTATTACTAAAAATAGTCTATGTGTTACTCCGGGTTACATGCACGGCTGTACATATTTGGATGAAATGTTTTAGACTAATACATTTCATCCAAATATGTACAGCCGTTAAAGCCTGAACGAGGAACAACTAACAAACAAACAGACATACATACATACCCATGTATAAACTTTCACAATTATAATATTAAACGATGTAAGCTTATTATATATTGCATCGATAAGAGGTAAAACCAATAGAGCCTTGCATTTGGGGCGATAACCTCTGACATTCCCGCCCACTTTTCACCGGTTAATTAGTGCACATTCGGGCTGTCTCTCGGGACATTCGTTGAGTAATTGTGTATGTACTCGTACTCGTGTAACGTGTACTATACTTTACATCTGGATTTATGTTTGTGTTGGTGTTTTCAGCCCTATTTAACGTCCCACTGCTGGGCATGCGTCTCCTTTCATTACGAGGGGGATCAGGCCACACTCCACCACGCTGGCCGAGTCCGTCTTGGCGAACTGCACATGTCTTTCGAAAACTTGCCAGGTTCTCTCAGACATGCAGGTTTTCTCACGATGTTTTCTTTTACTGTAAGGCAAGTGGTAATCATGTTGGAAATGATTAGCACATGAAAATATCAGAGGTGGGAGACCCGGGATTTGAACTCGCTTCACCCAAGCGAGCACGTTACCACTGGGCTACTATCGCCTACGTCTTACATAAACACATTTAAATGTATATATTGCTTTAAATATGCCTGTTACACTAAAGTGTTTCTACTCGAATAAATAATTATATTTAGATTTAACTTATATATAAAAGATTTTTTAAGTCTTTAGTGATTGTAATCGAAATCAGTCAAGAAAATATTATTTATTATAAATATAATAACAGCAGGTGTATTTCTTTTTTAGACAGATGATATTGTTATATATTTAATTTGCAGAGCTCTGAGGCAACTTCGAGATCTTCTCCTGTATAAAACGGAGATTTTGATATAAATAATAAACTCGAGTGGACTTGCCAGCTAAATTAAAAAATCTTATCACGTGACCTGTCACACAAAGACCCATTTTTCGTCACTGAACAGAAGCAACATTTCTGTGTGTAGCATAAACACTCCACCTAATAAAGCTCCTTTGTTCTAAGCTAAATAGATTAACCTGTGTTAATGTGATATTTACTTTTAATTCTAAAAATAGTAGCGTATATCATAAAAATGTTGTAATCTATATACGTATAATAAAATTGTAACTAAGTTGAATTAGTACATTAAATATTTTTTGAAAAATCTAATTGAAATAGACATTATTATCGATACAGAGTCCGAATATATAGTTTTTAGATTTTTTGTCTATCTGTCTGTCTGTTACCGCATCACAAGAAAACCACTGGACAGATTTTAATGAAATTTGATATGATGATAGCTGGTTATCCGGGTCTACATATAGAATACTTTTTACCGTGGGAAAATATCTCATTTCTGAGAAAAAATACAAAAACGGCAATGTAAGAGTATACTAATATATAAAACCTAAGAAATTGGTTTTTGGTCATCTGAACGCGGGCGGAGCCGCGGGCAATGGTAGTAAAATATAATATTTTAGTTTATAATGCTTTGCTTTAAATTCGCTCATAAAATAAGATCTGTAACCAAGCTAATATTGTAAATACAGAATGATGCATTAGCGTCCAGCGTTCTAACCGAGTTCAAAGCCAAAAAACGAAATGGGGGGCCAACCTCGGTGGTGGTGTACCATACGGGGTACATAAGGGAGGGAAGGCTAAAAAGTGGATAGATTAGTCATCTAAATAGACACGTATTCAGCCCCATTTAACATCCCACTGCTCAGAATGGGTCTGTCTCCCTTCGATACGAGGGGGATCGGGGCATTCCTACTCTACCATGCTGGCCAAGTGCTAGTTGGCGAACTTCATATAAAATTTTCTAAAATTTCTTTACAAGACTTGTTAGGTTCTCCCGGACATGCAGGTTTCCTCACGATGTTTTCCTTCTCCTTAGTAATGCAAGTGGTAATCATGTTGAAACTGGTTCGCACATAAAAATATCAGAGGTGCGAGACCCGGGATTTGAACCCGCTTCACTCGGTTTCCCAAGTGAGAGCGCTACCACTGGGCTACCACTGCCATGATATGACGATAGATGGACATAGGTTACATTTTATCTCCTCCCCGCTTACCATATGAGAAGAATCGCGAGTAAAAACTAGTTCAATATATTATGTTGATCTCCTGCACGAGTACCTACATAATTTATAAGAGCAAAAACCTTTCTCGCCCACATTTTAGCGTAAAATTAAATAAATTTGAATTTAATAAGTTTCTGCTAGAAACTATCTTGTGGCTTTTCTTTTACTGGAAAATATCGTCAGAGCTTTTATATATAAGAGTTTAGAATAGAGAAAAAAAAGTAAAGCAAGTAACTTTTTTATATATAAAAATGACTTATATTATACTTTCTTAGATTTACGCGAATGTTTGACATTTTTAAATAAAACTATCTTTTCGGATTATTTCGCGGATTTATTTTGATTTTTGGTTCCCGACGTTTCGAATGCTTTACAGCATCCATGGTCACGGGAGAGACAGGTGTTACATGTCTTGAAGGTATAGATGTTACAGACAGCCTACCCAAAATTAACAAAATGAAAATTGCACCAATAACATTACAATATTTTTAACTTTAAACATTTTTATAATTTTAATTATAATTGAATATGGAATATTATTTATTTAATTTAAAAAAAAATCAATTTAAAAAAATATTAATTAGTAATCTATATTTAGTGTTGCCATTATTATATTTATAACCATAAAGAAAAATATAAAATATAGTATTAATTATTTAAGCCATATAATTGTTCTATGTGTAATTTAAAAAAGTTAAAATTAATTAAGGATAATAATTTTAATTTAGTTTGCTATTGTTTAAAAACAACTTACTAAGCAACACTATTACTATATACTTTTACAAATGAAAAATGAAAAATCAAAATGACAGCTTATCAGATTAACAGACAGCGATCAGTTACACTTTTATTATATAAAATTCCCGTGTCACGACGTTAATCCGAGATGAACTCCGAAACTACTTGTCAGATCTAAATGTTTTTTTTTTCAAAATCCTAGCATTGAATAAACCCTACAACCAAGTTTGGAAATAAAATTTGCGCCCTACAATTTAGCGTATAAATAACACGTTTATTGTTTACTTATTGCTTACTAGCGAGTCACACTCGCTTCACCCGGGTTTGTCCCAAGGTTGCTTCCCCATACAACCTTTCATTCTCAATACGGGATAAAAACTATCCTACTTTCTTCCCAGGATCTCAAACTATCTTCTCCAAATTACATCTAAATCGGTTTAGTAGTTTCGGAGCCTATTCGGTAAAACAAACAAAAAAAATCTTTCCTCTTTATCATATTAGTATCGATTATAATGTAGTATGGAGCTTTTAAATTATTGCACAAGCTTTATGAATATATGTAACTCTATAAAAGTTTCATTACTGCGCGTGACACTTGCGGTTATGTGGTTTCTCGCGATTACTAATCTATTACATACGAGTATATTATTCGAAACCGAAAATGGGCTTCTGTTGATAGAAACAAAGATTTTATTTATCTATTTTGCATATCTGTACCAATAATATAAACAAATTGTTAATCAAGTTGAAAAGTGAAGCTCTTTTTGATAAATCTAAGCACATCATATTTTCTAAGTAGTTTCTAAGCAAAAATTGGTGGTATAAGTTTGACGTCGATGTCTGTCTGTGTGTGTGTGTCTGTCTGTGGCATCGTAGTTCTCAAGCGAATGGACTGATTTCGATGCGGTTTTTTTCATTTGAAAGCCAGTTTCCTTGAGTTGGTTCTTAGCTATGTTTGGTTGATATCGGTCCAGCAGTGTAAGAGTATCAGCTCCTTTCCAAAATGATGTGAGGCATTTTGGCGTATGATTACTCGATTAAGTGCTTCACGCGTGCCAGTGTAATCGTTAAATGACAATTTGCGTAGGGGATTTTTTTTATTTTTAATTTATATTTGATACTTCTGTCATTTGGTGCTTTTTATAAGGCACGTAAAGTTAGAGCGTAATATCCAATCTATTGCTCAATAAACTTACCTATATATTACTCGTACAATATGGTGGTTTATTCTCACTCATGATAATAGGTAACTAATTTTCCATAGAACTCGTGGTGCGATATTAACTTATTTTTATCACTGTTCTATATCACCCCCTCCTCACATGAGATTTACACTACAGTTGTTAAAAAATAATACAACGTTTAGGAACTCTTGAAATAAATGTTTTTTTTTATAGGTAATAATAGTTGTGAGATTTTTTCAGCGGACAAAAAAAAACGAAAAACCAAAATAATATTTTAATTGCGAAATTGCATAGATAACAATGGATTAGAACTTACTTGGATTGATTAAATATATAATTTCATTATTTTTTCGTTTCCATTTTCCATATATAATGACAATTTAATATGTAAGGATCTATTATAACGGACTCACCCAGCAGCAATGCCCCATTGCTGTGAGGCGGCGTCGGCGGCGTGGTCGAACAGCGTGAGCCCCACCAGCGCTACCGTCGGCGCGATCGTCAACGGCGTCACCCACCGCAGCAGGGACCCGATTATACCGAAGTAACCTGCCGAATAAAATAAATAAATACGTTGGGACATTAACACACAGCACCATCTAGTTCCATGATAAGCTACGAGGCTTGTGTTATGAATACCAGATAGTTGATACACTATATTACATAGTCGTATATAACTTTAAATATGTACGTATTATAAATATAAACACCCATGGCTGGAGAACAAACATTCGTGCACCTCACACAAATGAATGCCTCTAGCGGGACTCGAACCCGCGACAGCTGGCACAGCAAATAGGGTCACTACAAACTGAGCCAAACGTGTCGTCAAATTGTTTATATGCACTTACTAGCGACTCACCCTCGCTTCGCTCGAATTTTAACGGTTAATATGGAAAAGTTCTATACATATAATAAAGTTCTAAGTCGAATCTGTAGGTACATTAAATATTTTTTGGAAAATCTTATTGAATTGGACATTATTATCGATACAGTTTTTTTTAATTTTTGTATTTCTGTTTATCTGTGACCGCATCAAGAAAAAACTACTGGAGGGATTTTGATGAAATTGAAAAACTTTTTACTGCGGAAAAATATCTCATCTCTGAGAAATCTATACTAAACGTCGAAACGCAACTAGGGATGAGCCCGAGTGGAGCGAGCGTAAGTCGCTAGTAGACTGTAATCTTAATATATAAAATTTCACAATGTTGGTCCGTAACCGTTATTATTGTCTGAAAAATGATTTACATATATAATATTCTTTCCGTTGCTATCTTCAAAGATTACTATTTTAACTTATTTGTTTTATAAAATGCATAATATTTATAACTAGCGACTCACCGTCGCTTCGTCCCTTAGAGTATATTATGTGATAGATGTAAGAATCCAGCTAGATAGAAAGAGATAAAATATTATTCTGTCCTCTTTGTGGATTGTAACTATTTATAAATACTGACTCATGACATACTGGTTTAATCTAGTTTGGGAGTCAGAGGCTTCAACAGACCTATGTAACAACAAACAATTGTGTCAAAAAATATATATTTTGTTCTGTTCTATTCTATAAGGATTATTTCACTGTTTGTTTCCCCAAAAATAAACAAATAAATATTCGTTAAAATCACATTTTTGTCTGAGTGTAATATTAACAGTATTTAATAATTTATTAAGCATTGAAGTTTGACTTCTTACACGTTCCCATAGAAACTTTTTTTAAAATTTTAGACACTATTGCCAATAGTTAGTGCCGGATTTAACCTTAGTGCCGCCCCTGGGCTTAGTGAAAAATGTCGCCCTATTATCGAAATTTTGAATAAAATATTGAAAGTATATTTTTTTTTGAAATATGCAAAAGAAATAATTATAAATTATTTCAATTTTTCCAAAAATGTTCCAGTTCATTTTTTGTAATTATTCATTTTTTGGAAAATTAAAAAAAATAACGCGAAGAAAAAAAAATCCTACCCTCCGAATTTTGCCGCCCCTAAAAGTTTGCCGCCCTGGGCACTAGCCCCAAGTGCCCCTTGTATAAATCGAGCGCTGCCAATAGTTGATAAAATATAAGCAAAAATCATAATCTAAAACCAAAATAATTTTAAGTACTACAAAAACATACCACCAAACATCTGAAAGAGCGCGGCCACAGCGATGGCACCAGATAGTTCACACATCCGACTTGTCCACACTTCTCTACGTTGCTCTGCATTCATAGCTGCTAGGACTTCACTTCCTGGACACTTCCAGGCGGGAAGGCCGAGTATAGCCAATGTGGGCACTAGGAACGATATCGTACCACCTTGCACTATCGGTAATCTACACCCAAATGTCGCTTGCAACCATGTTATTAATCCTGTAAATGGAAATCATTTTTATTTAGCCTTTAATTTGACACTTTAACAAGTATTAGGCGACCGGTATGGTTGGTCGCTGTGACCAACTATTTGTATGACATATGTACATATATGTGTTATTATGTTATATGTATGTGTTGATTGTATGAACTTAATGCAAATAATCATTAGTTTTGATATTAGATAATTTTATTTTACTTTATCTTTTTTATACCCATTTTCTCTTTATAAATATACAATAAAATGTTTTTTAACGTAGATCCTAAAATCCTAAAGTCTAAGTCCTGAAATTAAAATAATAATATACATAGTGATGTATAACCATACTATCGACTCACTCTCGCTTCGCTCAGGTTCATCCCTAGGTACGATTTGACGCTTAGTACGATAGATATTTTTTTTTATTCGTTAATTTTTCCGATATGTTAATATTTAGTTATTCTGCTATTCAAGGCGGAGGCAAATCTAACAAACCAAAGATCATAAAAGTCGGTCTAACCGTTCTTGAGTTATAAATAGTGTAATTAAAACCGAGTTTGTTTTATATATACCTCTATAGGTATCTCTATAGGTATATGTAATATATTAATTATTGTAATATATACAATAGATGTATACATCGTTACGTAATATATTACTAAAAACTATTAATTAACGTTAAACGTATAAAGTTTTCTTTCGATAACACTAAATGTAAGTGTGTAGAGCGAGAATTAAGTGTTAGCAACTTCAACTGCAAGTACTTAACGAGCTTTAAAGCTCAAGCACAAATAAGCTTTGAATTTCGATAAGCTGTACATTGGGGGTGTAACTCAGTGGTAGAGTGTCTGCTTCGCATGCTGAAAGTCCTGGGTTCAAATCCCAGCACCTCCATAATATAAAATCGTACTTTTGGTAATTTATTTACCTACTACGATATATGTACTTAGAATTTGTTTTTAATAATAACATATAATTGAAATCATAACAGAATAGAGATTCTTAACACGTATTTTAGAAATTATTTTCCATTATATATCGCTACAAATTGATATTATTATAAATGCGAAAGTTTATGGGTCTGCGTATTTTTGTTCTTCCTTCACGTCGAAATGGCTGGACGGATTTGGATGAAATTTTATACACAGACAGACTATAGACCTGGATCAACACAGAAGCTACTTTTAGGCATCTAGGAACACAGACGAGCGAAGCGTGGGTAAATGTACATTAAATTGATTGGGCTGACTGGCCCATGATCTGAGCAGATCGAGTCCCTCGTCCAGAAAGGCTAAAGCAGCCTAGAGTACATAATACATATGTATATCTAGAATGACATGATACGTAACCGTTAAATATATTTTTTGGAATTCAACCTATTAACAGGGTGAAAAAGAGTGGGGTTTTAATGGAAAATATGTAATTTTTGTGGCTTCATTTGTTAGAAATATGATATTAATTTGCTCTTTGGTGAAAAAACACGTAGGAACGAGCTCAAAGCCTTTGTTCTCTCATATTGTTATATTTACATTAAAAAAAAAAACTAAAACATAATTAACATATCGTTGGCTCACAATTACAAGGTTCTATGTTACAATTTTAGTACTTATTTAGTTATGAATGCTACAAGGTTTTATGTGCCATTAGCTACCGTTTTGCAAAAACAAACCACTAGATAGCGGCACTTTAACTACAAAATCTTCAATTTTACATAGTTCTATGTTGTTTTTTTACGATAACAAAATAACGAAGTTCTATGTAAAATATACTAAACTTTATTAAAATTAACATAGAACCTTGTAATAGTGAGCGAATGATATGTTATTTATAAATGTTGTCCTTTAATTTGGATCTATAAATGATTTTGTATCATGTTTTATTGCTGGTAATAACTACACTGTGAGAATGTGACTTACAAAAAATTATTGAGTCAAAATTTATTCTCAGAACAACCACAGTACAGAAAAGTGAATGATAAGGGTTTCAGTTTTTCATCAGATATGCGGAAAAAAATTAAATTGTACTATACACCAAACTAAATACTACTAGTACTGCGTTATTCACTCAGTGGTAACGCGTTCGTTTGGAAAACCAAGTGAAACGGGTTCCTACCCCGGTTCTTGCATTTCTGTCATTTTATGTGTAAAACGTTTTCAATTGATTAGCACTTTTTAGTACAGTAAAAATCCTTATCTATACTAATATTACAAAGAGATAAAGTTTGTGAGTTTGTGACGTTGTAGGGGGTAATCTCTGGATCTACTAAACCGATTGAGATGAAATTTGGTAAGAAGATAGTTTAAGACCCTGGAAAGGACATAAGATAGTTTTTATCCCGGAAATCATCCCTTAAGGGGGTAAAAATTGGGATGAAAGTTTGTACGGGGAATCAACCAAGCGAAGCAAGGGTGAATCGCTAGTATAAAATACATGGTGAGGAAACGTGCCTGAAAAACCTAACATATTTTTAAAAGACAGGTGAAGAGGGACTATGGTCTGATCTCCGTGGTTTTAGGAAGAATGACGGAGGCCTGGCCCCAAACTAGCAAAATTGAAAAATAAACTTTTAGTGAGCACACTATCCAATAGTCAGATGAATCTATAAGCAAAAGGCGTAAAAAGTGAACTAAAAAGAAGAGAACAAGTTGACAAAAGAACACAGTACTGTGCAGTCGACGATATACATATACTTAGAATAGCTTAGAATACAGGCATATATACATAAATACATACATACAAGTCAAACACATAACCCTCCTTTGAGCTTTGCCGCAGTCGGATAATAATAAAAAAAAAAATAAAAAAAAATATTTTATTCATTAACAAAATGTTTACAAATTACAAATAAGGATGAGATCGCCTTTTAAGTGTACAAAACACCTGTGACAGACAATCTCGCTCTTCCATAGCCACATCAAAAGTAACTTGTTATAGCAAATTAAGTTTTACAATATTTGTTAGTAAAATAGTGTGTGTGTGTGTGTGTGTGTGTGTGTGTGTGTGTGTGTGTGTGTGTGTGTGTGTGTGTGTGTGTGTGTGTGTGTGTGTGTGTGTGTGTGTATGTGTGTGTGTGTGTGTGTGTGTGTGTGTGTGTGTGTGTGAGTGTATGTATGTGCGTGTGTGTGTGTGTGTTTCATATTCAGGAGATTGATTCCAAAAGCATTTCTGTATCCTCATATTTATTCGACTTAAGCCAATTAGTTAAGACTGATTTACAGTGATGATAACTCAATAGATAGATTTCTATGGTTTTGTTTACTTTATTATATAAGCGTCCTGACAGAATTTTGTACTGACGTGCAGCGAAAGCTGTTTTGATCCTAGGCAGCATAAGAACACCACGATTTCTTCTTTTATCTACTATGTTAGAATCAATAACCAAATTTTTATGTCTTTTTAAAACAACCCATAAAATATATAATTGTCTAACGGATAGAATGTTGCTTTCTGAGTATAATTCACGAGTAGGATATGTGTATGATTTGAAGAACATCACTTTGAGTAGTGACCTCTGTGCTCTTTCCACTTCCAGAAATTTAACTTTAGAGGCTCCACCCCACACTGAGATACAGTAACACAACACTGACTGGGCTAATGCGACATATATTTTAGTTAATAGTATTTTCGAAGCTGAATATCTTAAATTCCTGAAAATCCATATTAATTTTCTGACTCTGGAAGTAACTAACTCAATATGTGAGTGCCACGAAAGTCTTTGGTCAACCATAATACCTAGATATTTAGTCGTGGCTACTTTGTTGATTATAGGACAGCTACAGTTTTGATAAGTAGTGCTTTTGCAGGAATGAATTTGAATAGTAAAGTTACATGAAGGTTGTGATCGGATATTTTTTGAAAAGCAAATGTAATTTGTCTTCTCAGTGTTAAGTGAAAGCAGGTTTGCTCTTAGCCAACAGGCAACTTCACGGAGTCCTCTTTCTGCAGCTTCATGAACAGTATCCCACGTAGGCCCATTGAAAACTATAGCCGTATCATCAGCATAGGCAAAGATCCTGGCCCCGTTTATGTTTAAGGTACACAAATCGTTAATATAAATTAGAAACAAAGTCGGGCCCAAAACGCTGCCTTGTGGGACGCCATAAGTTATGTATGAATCTTCGCTCAACAGTTGTCCTATTTTTACTTTCTGCTTACGATTACATAAATAATCTTTAAGAAGTAAAAGAGGGGTCCCTCTGATGCCAATATTTTCTAACTTTTGTACGAGAATGGGGACAGAGACGGTGTCAAAAGCCTTTTTTAGATCTAAAAAGACAGCAAGACTTTTGTTACCTACATCAAGTTGTTCAACAATTAATGAAGTTAAAGCTGTAACAGCATCCTCTGTAGATTTTGCTTGCCTAAAGCCAAACTGAGAATCAGATAAGATGTTAAATTTGTTCATAAAATATATTAATCTTTTGTTAATTAGTTTTTCTACTATTTTAGAGATACAGGGCAAAATCGAAATTGGCCTATAATTGTTGACATCGTCTCTGGCACCACTCTTGTAAACAGGAGTGATAATAGCTTGCTTTAGTAAAGAAGGAAAAATGCCCTTATTGAAACAAAGGTTAACCAAATGAGTTATGATGGGAGTCACTTCATTAGTGGCTAATTTTAAGAAACTAGATGGTATATTATCCCATCCCGGAGCACTATTAGATTTAAGAGACATTATCGTGTCATGAACTTCCATATCATCAGTGTCCAACAAAACAAATGACGTCAAATGAGTATAATTTGTTCGAGAATTATTTTCCAATGTATTATCCTTATATATTTTTTCTGCTAGGTCTTTACCTACATTAGAGAAAAATGTGTTCACATGATTTACTGATTCTACAGGTGATGGTCTTATGTATAATAAAGGAGAATTGTCAGTTTTTATTTTATTTAAATGTGTTATATTTTTAACATTATACCAGAGTTTCTTAGAATTTTTTATAGATGCGTCCAGCTGTTGTCTGTCATAGTTACGTTTAAGCTTTTTTTAAATTATTACAATAATTTCTGTACCTTTTGTAACTAATTTTTAAAATTTCATTAAATGGATCACTTTTTAATTTTCTTTGCATATTATTTCTATTTCTAATGCAGCGTAGGATCCCAGGAGTAATCCAGGGTTTGATTATGCGTCTGTTTTTAGGAATATTTCTTATAGTTGTATTTTCTTGGAGTGATTTGCGTATACTATCAGTTAATCTTTCTATTACTAAGTTTGGATTGTCACAAAGAAGTAGTTCTCGGAGATTTCTCTCAGCTAAAGAAAGAAGCGCTTTATTATAATCTGTTATTAATTTACTTTTTGTACATTTGATTTGATGTATTTTATGCCTAGATAAACATAACAATACCATGTTATGATCGGTAATAGTTGTATTAAGAACCGCGATTTGCGCAGCAACTTTATCCTTCTCGATCTTAAGCATAAAATGGTCAAGACAACTATTTTCTCTTGTAGGGATAAAGTGTCCAGATAATAAACCATGTGAACACAACATATTAAGGTAATTTATTCTGTTGTTGCGTTCATAAGTACCCTCAGACTGTTTTGAAATTAAGTTTATATTCAAATCTCCTGTTATTACTATATTCTTATGTGCCTTTATACTGCATAGATGTGAGTTAAGAGAATCAATGAAATTCGCAGCATTAATATTAGAGGGTGATCGGTATATACAAGATAGTCGTATTAAGAGTTTCTACTTGTAAGCAAGATGCGTGGACCAATTTCAATTCCTTAACATTAGCAGTGATGTTATTTTTAACATATATAGCCACACCATCGTTTTGATTTATCTGATGGGTAGTAGCAAAAGAGTTATAGTTACTGAGGCATGGTAATGGTAGGTTAGGTCTTAGTCTACACTCCGTTAGAACCAAAATATCCAGGCTTATTTTTAAGCTTGCCATTGTAAGTATAAGATCATCAAAATTACTGTATACGCTTCTGATATTTTGTGTTGCTATTACGATATCCTGTTGCTTAATGCGAATATTATTTCTAAGTACATCAGTATCGCAACGTAGTGTATGGGCAATCATTGTATTGTCTATTTCATTAAGCGTACTAATAGAATTATCCATTAGGGAAATAGTTTAAATAACCATGTAAAATTATTACGGGTGTTAAGGTTACAAAAAAGATACGCATTAAGTCACGTGCCACTGCAATCTTAGAATTATAATATAGTATGGAACTAGTGTCAGACGCAACGTGTAAAGGTTTGTGCATAAAACTATTGAGTATAATGTTTTTATGTTTGTATATAAATTGTTTACATAGTGTGTTTGTTTGTAGAGTTATAGAAATGTATATAAGTTTGCTTACATGTTTAATGTATAGTGTAGTATTAGTGTATTTGTATATAATTTGATTACGTAATAGTTTAAAAAAGTTAGTATTAGTGCTTATCAATTCAAGTAATATGATAAAGAAATTTAGAACACGGAGAAAAATCAAATCGGCAATAAAAAGAAAGGAAATAGATATCAACATTTGTTTTAAACTTAACATAACATAATATAGTCATGCATTCAGTAGCAATTGATGAGTTTGAGCTTCACTTTTAACTAATATAATAGGAGAGTTATCATCTTTTCTTACGTAAACTTTCCCATAGGCAGTCCAGCAGTACTTGAAGTTTTTCGATTTGACCAGGTCGCGAGCAAGAAAATGTAGACGTGATCCTTTCGCCGTTAATTGCTCGGAAACAAAGATAGGTGTGTCCTCAGCCGTACGAAAACCAAGGTGCTTGGCGCATAACTTATTCTTGTGTTTAATATTAAATGATTTACACATCTTCAATATATCATTTTTTATGAGAGTAGATGTAGTCTCAACTATTATAGGGGTATTTTGTACGTTTACCTTTTTTCCACGCACTCTATATATGTCCTTAATTTGAGTTCTATTAATTTCACAGCCAATATTCTTCGTCAAGCACATAACCATAGTAATTAAATCTTCCTTGGTTTCGTTTTCTTTTTTTGGTACATTTTTCATTTCAAAATTAGACTTACGACTCCACATCTGTAAATCCTCCAATTTATCCTCCAGGATACATAAATACTGCCTGTCTTCTTTTATTTGACCTTCTAGATGTTCAATTTTATTTTTAAATTCTTCATTTTGTGAAGTGAGATATTTTATAGAATTTTCAATGCTTATGTTAGTTTCTTTTATTTCCTCTAGAGTAAGTGCAATTTTCTCCATTTCCTGTTTCTGAGCTTTGAATAAAGATAGCATCATAGATCTCATTTCGTCCTTGAGCCCACTCAGTTCCGAAGTATAACTCTCTCCTCTGCGTTTATATCGAGAGCTAACGAAGCTCGGTGGAGTTTCTTTAGTCCCAAACTGATTCAAATCCGTTTCCGAGAGAGATTTATCAAGCGAGGTATCCATCGTAATATAAGAGTTTAGAATCTGCTCTAAGGTGTTAAGTAATTAACGACTTGGGGCCAATGTGCACTGGCGAATAGTTATAGGTGTTTGTAATTAAGGTCAAAAGCCAATTAGACGAAAGAGGCGGGATAAGTAATTAGTGTCCGAACCAATTAGTAAAAAGGGGGCAGGGCTTACGCAGGGGTCCTCATTATGGCGTACTTTGCGTGTGCGCAGATTGGTTCGCATAGGTGTGTATTCACTTCTATTCGTTTCTTCACAGTACCAGGGCCTCAGAAGCGTTGCGTTGAGTGTAGATTAGTAGTTGTAGATACATATCTTCTTTTTTTATGCACTCCTATTATTTTATGCGGAATTAATTTAGAATTTTACTATTTTAATATATAAAAACGCGAAATAGTAGCAGGTCAACACGTTAGCACCTTACGGCGGTCCAAGGGGAAGAGGATAATATATAAGGTTCTATCTTTTCACCGCTATGCGGAAACATACGTAGATAGAGTTGAATGTAATAAATGAAATGCTTATCTATTTGATAAGAGTATTTAATCCGGTGTGATTCATTTTATCAAAGGACGACTGATCTTTACTTATCAATGTCAAATACATCTCTAGATGTTGTAAAGTCATAATAAATCGTTGACACTATGCTTTGTTACCTGACTTTGGTTATAATCAAAAATATATACACAAATATATAACACCTACTTCTATTATATTTTCAATGGGAAAGAAAATCATATGGTTTCGAACTTGAAAGCCGTTTGGCAGGTTGTACCTGATGTTTTAAATACTGAACATACATACATAATAATTTTTCGACAGCATATCAGTAAATGCGTAATAACAACAATGTTGCTTCATCAAGTTGTTTTTATCTTTTAATTTTTTATTTCTGTAAAATAATTTTTGATTGACATATATTTTTACTAACAACTCACCCTCGCTTCGGTTCGGGTTTGTCCCTAGACAAAAACCAATCTATCCCACGGAAACCGTACATTTTCCGGGATAAAAGTAATCTAAAAAAACCTTCCTCTTAAATCACTCTATCTATTGCTGAAAACTGCATTAAAATCCGTTGAGTAGTTTAAATGATCTAAGCAAACAGACAGCGGAAGACTTCATAAACCCCCGACGCAAAAAGAGAGGTGTTATAAGTTACACGTCGACGTCTGTCTGTCTGTGTGTATGTGTGTCTGTCTGTGGCATCGTAGCTCTCAAACGGATGGACCTATTTCGATACGGTTTTTTTTTCATTTGAAACCAAGTTTTCTTGCGGTGGTTCTTAGCTATGTTTGGTTAGTATCGGTCTAGCAGTGTAAAAGTATCAGCTCTTTTCCAAAATAAAGTAAGGCATTTTGGCGTAAGGCTTCACGCGTGCCATTGTAATCGTTAAATGACAATTAATTTGCGTAGGGGTTTTTTTTAATTTTTAATTTATAATTATTTTATACTTCGATCAACAATTCTACTGTTGATCGAAGTATGAAAGATCGACTTAAATTTTTCAGCGTAAACCGTTTCAGCGCAAAAGGCATGTCCACATATACAAACTTTTGCATGTATAATGGCAGTCCCGAATTTAAACGATAATGTTTTAAATACAATCAGTATAAAATTTAATTTTACGGTTTTGTTTATGATAACATTCAATTTTTACTTATTTTCATTTATTTAAAATATCGTTCACATACCTGTGACAAATATCATGGTAGATATAATGTTTGAGCGGTCTGGGTCCGTTTCCTCCATACAGAGCGCGGGACACAGGATGAACGGTATGGCCACTATCGCGCCTATCATTGTTAGGTAATGCTGAAAATAAATTAGAATATTTATTTTATTTTGAGGTATTCAATGAAAATTATAAATGATATATGTTAGTTTTACTTTTCAATAAAAAGTATTTCGCTATTGTGTATTTGACGACACGTTTGGCTCAGTTTGTAGTGATCCTACTTGCTGTGCCAGCGGTCGCGGGTTCGAGTACCGCTGAGGGCATACATTTCTGTGATAAGCACGAATGCTTGTACTCCAGTCATGGGTGTTTATATTATTAATAAATATGTATATATTTGAAGTTATATAAGTATAGTGTATCAACTATCTGGTATCCACAACACAAGCCTCGTAGCTTACCATGGAACTAGATGGTGCTGTGTGTTAATGTCCCACATATTTATTTATTTATTTTTGTCTCCGAAATGCATATGTCGAGTCAATTCTACGCCTGATATCTCATCATAATGACCAATAATATTATTATTATACTTTAAAATAATTATATAAAAAACATAAAATTGTATGTATCATACCTGTAACGCCATAAATATGCACAGATACCAAGGCGGCACATCGTCGATACCGTATGTGACATTCCCTTTGCGCTCTGTGGTCGATCCATTTGGCACATTGGCTGGATTTTGAATCTGAACAGAAGATTGTAAAAAATGTAGAAATAGTATAAGATGTTTGGTATATGATGTTATTATATTCCTATAGGCAGTGGTTTCCCAGTGGTAACGCACTCGCTTGGAAAACCGAGCGAAGCGGGTTCAAATTCCGGGTCTCGCACCTTCGATATTTTCATGTGCGAATCATTTCCAACATGATTACCACTTGTTTTACGATGAAGGAAAACATCGTGAAGAAACCTGCATGTCTGAGAGAACCTAACAAGTTTTCGAAAGACATGTGAAGTCCACCAAACCGCACTTGGCCAGCGTGGTGGACTATGGCTTGACCCTCCTCGTATTGAAGGGAGGCCCGTGTTCAGCAGTGGGACGTTAAAACAAAGATTTGAATACAACATAATTATATGCGTAGACTTGACACTATACAACTACTATTTCCCCACGTATTATTAAACCATATTTGAAACTTTTAGGATGTTTATTTCTCCCTTTGTCCCTTACAAGAGTTTATTTCATTAATGACTCACCATCTATCATCAGACGAGACTGAGGTCAACGAACTTTTAATTATTAAAATGAAATACGTATCTCCGCCTTTTATTAATTTGTCTTCTATTGAACTTTTCAAAATGGATATTGACCAAGTTAGTTAAATATTTAACACAGTGTTACTGACAAAAATGTACTTAGAAGTAATTTTTCAATGTTAATAATTGTTTATTGTTTGACACAAAGCCTCTACATTTTAATGGGTCTAGTTCTAATAAAACCAGCGCATCACCCTCGCTCCGCCCGGGTTCGACCCGAGATACGTTTTAACGGTTAGTATAAACTTCTCAGAGATGATATATTTTCTCGCAGTAAAAAGTATCCTATATGTTGACCCGGATAACCAGCTATCATCATACCAAATTTCATCACAATCTGTCCAGTAGTTTTCAGACAAACAGACATACATCATAGAGTATCAATAATAATGACTATTTCAATATGATTTTCCAAAAATATTAAATGTACAGATTTGACTATGAATTTTATTATATAGTAATCATATAAAAAGTACATGGTATAAATACGTTTAATGATTATAATATGAATGTATTTAAAGTTATATATGCATAACACAAGCCTGGTAACTTACCATGGAACTAGATGGTGCTGTGTTAATGTCCCCACATATTATAAAAAAATATATTATAATGCTTGTTATACTTTATCAGGTGATAATATTCCTCTCTTTCTTAGGAACTATGAGGAATAATATTGTACTAGAACAATGTACATGCTAAGTTGCTCCTCAGCACTATGTAAGTTAGTAACTTGAAATTTCATTACAAGATATTGAAACTATAAATACAATTTATTTACAATATAATAATGATATGATTAGTTTGTCTGTTTGTTTGTAAAATATTACGTATCTGTATCGTATCGTATCGTATAAATAGATTGTTTTCTGAAAAGAAACCTATAAAGCAAAACCTTATCTTAAGACAAAATTTGATTAAAATCGGTAAAGCCGATTTCTAAATACACGAAATATTATATGTATATAGTACAAGAATAGTTCATTTAAAAATATAGGTATATTTGGATATCCTATCCTCGGTAATGAGTTATACTGTAAATATTTTGTGTCGTTCTATTGTTTTCTAGTAAAGTCTCCTTGCGTCGCGTAAGTATGACGCGGTCGTCAACATCAATGTAATTAGAGCTCGTTGGATAACTTGTACTAACTGTTTATATAAACTAAATCTTCAAACATTACACAAGGATGTTATACATATACACTATATATATATATATATATATATATATATATATATATATATATATATATATATAATATCTCAGGAACTATTAATCCGATTAGAAATATTCTTATTGCATAAAGTTTTATTGAGGAAGGCTATAGGCTATAAATCATCCCAGAAAAATGTCCGATTTCCGTGGGATAGATTTGTTGGTGTCTAGGTACATAGATATATTTCCATGGATTTTTTTGTAAAACAAAAATATTGAAGGCTATTTTTAGATGAAATCAGCTCAATAATATCTATAATTAATCGTTTAGTGTGAAAAATAGCAGTACCTATATTCATTCACATTGACACGTTTTTAAATTATAAATCTTGGTAGCGTACGTTTTAACGGTTAGTATTTAATAGACAGACTATATCAGTATATATTATGTGATATATTGCCTTTAGTCTTCCTCAATAAACGGGCTATCTAATGCAAAAATAATTATTCAAATCGGATTAGTAGTTCCTGAGATTAGCGCGTTCAAACAAACAAACTGCCTCTTTATAATATTAACGTAGATCTTAGAACCCGTTCATAAAACTTATAGCATTAGATTTTACGATCAACGTTTTATTGTTTCAATACAATAAATGATTTTATAGAAAATTAAAACTATATATTTTAATAATGTGATCGTCTCAAGGCTATAGCAGTTAGCAATATTACTTGAAATTTTAAAATGTATTTATATAATGTACTTGTATTAAGAAGAAAAAAAGTTGTAGACCCGCCAGTTTCTTTCAGTTCGTATAAAGTCTATGGAACTTTTTTACCGACTATTTAAGGCAATTGTACACCGACTTCAAAAAAAGAAGGCGCTCAAATCTAGATTGTTTTTGGAGTTTTTTAAGTCATACCTTCGCCGATAACAGAATGATTTTCATAATTCTTTCATATCTCAAAGGCGATTTCTTATACCACACATTAAAAACATATACATAAACCACTCCCAGGGATGGTATTAAGTGGTTACTATAAATATTATGGTAACAAGAGTTAAGGGAGTGGTCGCGACGAAGTTTAAAAAAAAAAGTAATTTTCAAACCAACTAACTTTTAAACTAGGTAATTTGTGTATATAATACCTATTCAAAGACAGTACAGACATACAGGTACTGGGGATGATACAATCTATCTATATTTAATAATTTGCATATATCTAATAATCCAAGTCTAAATGGCTGCTGAAAGAATTACACCTTATAATTACACTGCATAAACAAGTCTCATATCACACCGCGGGAGACCTTATGGTAATATAACTCAAGTAACACATTTTTTGTTTTGAACGTTTATATGCAAATATTCTGATACTTGATACCTGAACCAGTAAAGACAGGACATCTACTAAGATTTTTATATAATTCTTACGTAAGTCCATGTATATATATATATATATATATATATATTATACAAATGTATAGTTACCTATAATATTGATTAATTATTGATATTTGATAGTAAGTACAAAAATAATAAATACTACCGCTAATGCATAATAAATAATCTGCTGAACGATCGCCCACGCCGACAGAAACTCTGTCGCCCAGATATTTTTAAAGTAAAAAATCTATGTTATAAAGACATTGGACAGCACTTTTATAAACTTTTTTCATAAAATGTACTTACCGAGTCTCGTACAATGTTTTCTAGGTCAATTTGAATGTTGTGATGCACCATTTTTATCTGTAAAAAACATTATGCTGATCAGGGTTTCTCTTTTTGAAGTCGGTAAAAGAATAGTTTATTCATATTGCTTTTTTTTAAACATTGGGAAATGCATTTACGCGTACGATGTTTATAGATACAGGTGGTAGTAGAAAAGCCAGTACTACCCACTAAAAACCAACGGAGCTTCTGGGCTTTGCACCCGGCTGGATTACCTAACTGGTCTCCTCTGGTGGTCAAAATTTAATATAAATATAATATTTTATAATCATTATTGAAAATTTGAGGAAAACATATATGAATAGAATTTACCTTATCTATAAAAAAAAAACCAATTGTTTTGAATTTTTTGTACTGCTAACAATGATAATTAAATAACAATTAAGCTCATCAATGGACAAAAAAAAAGAAAATCGGTTGACAAACAGAGCAGAAAAGGTACTTGAACTATTTTGTCTTTACCCATTTATATATAGGGTACTGTCTTAGATTTACGCGAATATTTCACAATTTAAACAATTTCAATTAATTAGTAGTTAGTTACTTAGTTAACTCTAATCATTACGCCACTTAGTTAAACGTTTTGTTCTCGAAGGAACAAAATAGTATGTAATAATAAACGCAAACTGGTTCATTTGCAACAATGCACATTATTTATTATTATTTATACCTACAAGTGCGTGATTCAGTATGTTATGACCTACCATTTATTGTGTTTAACTTATTATACTACTAGCGACTCACCCCCGCTTGGCTCGTGTTCATCCCTACATTTTAACGGTTAGTATGGAATACATAGACTATATATTATATGATACTAGCGACTCATTCGTCTCTAGCTTGCTTCCCTATACAAACTTTCATCCCCCTTCTTACCCCCTTAAGGGATGATTTCCGGGATAAAAACTATTTCACTCACTCACTTTTCATATCATGAGATTTAAAAAAAAACTTATTTTAATAAAAAAAAATCTATTAAAATTCTTCTATACAAAACTTGTCCTGACAACAACACAAAAAAACAAACACAAAAAAAAAAGAATTATCCAATTTGGTGCGGTCGATCGGAAGTTGCGCGTACATACATTTCGGTGATTCATTTTTATTTATATAGATATAGTCTATAGCTTTCCTCAATGAACAGGCTGGCTAATGCAAAAATATATTTTTTTAAGATTATCGCGTTCAAACAAACTCTGCCTATTTATAATATTAGTATAAGTAACTGCCTCGGTGGTGTAGTGGCTAGCATGTACGGCTGCACACCCGGAGGTCCTGGGTTCGAGTCCCGGGTCGGGCCAAGTTTAGTTATTGAGTCTTCCTGTATAGTAAGTCTCAGTAACAGCCCGGAGTTGGGAAGTTGGCGGTGTTTCACCCCCGTGCCTCGGAGAGCACGTAAAGCCGTCGGTCCTGCGCCTTAACTCTCACCGGTCGTGTCGAGTGGTCATCCCACCGGAGTATGAGAGTGATAGGAATAGAGAGTACACTTGTGTCTGCGCGTACACTTGAGCACTATAATATCTCCTGCGCAGTTGGCTAATCTCATTGAGATTGGCCGCCGTGGCCGGAATCGGCTAGGAGAACATCATAAATAACTGCCTCAGTATGACTAAGTTATGGTACAATATTTACAAAATTAAATAGTGAGTTCTTAAAAACTGAATATATGTAATAAGAAAAGACTAGCAAATATATGTAAATCTTTCACCAATTTTTTAATTCGATTTAAAGTCTTTAACATGCCATAAACATTTAAAATGCCATGTGAATGCTCGCCATTTATTCATCAACACTCAAAGGAGGTCAGTTCCTCAAACGGCTCCAGTGGCTATTCTGTAATAGTAAGAGATCCTTATCTATGTGGTGGACCCCTAACTCTTTTTCCAGACGAAATATATTTTTTAAACCATAAAACTTATTAACGAACACGACTCAGGGGGATTGTTTCCAAAATGTCTTTGCATCAAATGGTGGAAGTATTTGTGCTTTGTTCAGTAAACACTTTCAAGCAGTATACCAGCCTAACGCTTTGGACAATGATATTGAGTTCAACAATCCATCATCCAACTATGCATGATTACTTGTCTATCGTTTCTGTTGAGTCATCCCCCTGAATTGTACATAAATATTTGAAACAATTGGATCCTAGTAAGAATATTGGTCCTGATCCCATCCCTCCTTTCTTTTTGAAAATGTGTAGTGAAAGTCTGTCCCATCCCCTATTTTTACTATTTAATAAGTCTCTTCAATCTGCAATAATGCCTACTACATGGAAGCGTTCTTTTGTAGTGCCGATTTATAAATATGGAATTTTCGTAATAATTCAACTCTAATAAAGTTCTATATAGTGCCTATGTCCGTTCTATACTTGAATATGCTTCTTTCTTTTGGAATCCATAGTAGGTACAGTAAATATATATATAAATAGAAATGAAAACATCCAGGTTGAATTTAATAAGCATTTATAGATCAAAAATCAATAATCAGACATTTCCTATTTTAAATCTATACATATAATAAAATTGTAACTAAGTCGAATCTGTACATTAAATATTTTTTGGAAAATCTTATTGAAATAGACATTAAAAATTAAACAGTATTCTTCCAAATACAAAGAGAGACAATAGCATTCCCAAAGAGGGTTGACGTCAGGCAGGCGTCAGGCGGCCGGTCGTAAAACTTTTGCCAAAATCCTATCAGCAGTACAGAAGATGTATTGCGCCGACCCCAAGTGATTGGGAAATGGGCAGGGAGAAGAAGAAGATTCTTCCAAATAAATAAATAAATTTTGCTACAGGCTTAAATTAAATACTTACAAGTTAAATTACAATTTATACATCGTAATAATATATACATATTTATAAAGATATATGTAGTTAATCTATGTACACGGGTGGAGCTGCGGGAAAACGCTAGTACTTCATATAAAGTGTTCAGGCTCTGTACATAAAAGGACTTACGAAATAACATCAACATCAATGGCAGGGAATAGATAAGATGGATATAAATTATAACTAATGCAAATGATTCAATAATCATACCTCAGCATTATCTTTTATCACAGCACACAACTATTATTAACTAGCGGCTCATTCTCGCTTCGCTCGTGTTCACCTCTAGGAAAACAAAAACAAATTTATCCCACGGGAGCCGTACATTTTTCCGGGATAAAAAGTAGCCTATGTGTTATTCCAGACTGTAATCTATAACAAACATTCATACTCACAAACTATCACATTTATAACATTAATACGGATTATGAATGATATAGTTTGTACGTCCTACAGTGTAATCTTCCTCACGTTGTAACTGCTTGACGGATTTGGGTAAAACTTAGAATGGAGATAGCTCGTATATTCTATATTAGCAAGGCTAATTTTAGTCTCAACGTGCGTTCACCTTGTCGTGGTGGGGGGGCTCAGTAGTGCCCGGCAACCCAACCGGGCGCGAAGCCAAGAAATGCACAGGGAAGTGGCCCACTTCGGTGGGCGGTGGGAGGTGGCCCTATTCGGAGGGCGGTGTACTATGCGGGTTGCTCCTGGTACTTCTCTGACAGCAGAGTGGACCTTGGAGCAACCCCGTGGTTGTTGTGGTCTGCTTTGGCAGACTTGCCGTCGAGGCGTCGTAGTTGAATGCGTAAGCGATCCTGCGACGCCCCATTAAGACGGGGGAAGGCTTTGTTGGGTTTTAGTGGGTAGTACTGGCTTTGCCGGTGAGTCCCACACCTCGTGCGTAAATGCATTTCCCAACGTTAAAAAAAAAAAGTCTAGGGGGCTAGGTAGGACACGAGATAATGCGAATATCTAGTTTATACAATACGTCGCTAGCTAAGTCGCTAGCTTATAATATTTATATAGATTAGTATAGATTATGATAATTGATAATTAAAAAATCATTTAAATAACTATTAAGATAATATTAGGTATTAATAGCGCTTAGATTTAGTAGGCATGAAATAAATAATTGTCTTGAAGTGATCTTCGCATTTTACACAATACACTTACGTACATACTTACATATTACATTTTTTTTAACAAATGTGTAAAATTATGTCATGTACAAGTTGGTTGGACATAATATGTAACCTCATTTAATTTAGTCAAAATACTGATTCGGGTTTTTTTTTATAATTATTGATTTTCTAACCTTTAACATATGTGCCTTGTTATAAATCTTTTACATAAATATTTTTAATTTAAAAAATCTTAAAAATATAAAGTAACATACCATTATTATTTAAAAAAAAACATATATAAAAAAAGATAAACTTACTGTCTATTCCAAGCTTGCAACACTCTTTATCACAAAAATTTGCTAAGTATTTTTTTTTATATTTTGTTATAACACATGTTCATACATTTTGCTACAATAAGGCACTAGTAATGGAGCGAGACCGACGACAGCTCTAATTGGTCTTCATACTACGACTACTTGCCTTGTTGACGATACATACTTATACAATTAATAATTCATTCAATGAAGAATACATAGTCATAAAGTAAGCTGTCTATAGGTACATATAATAAAACTAACAGAACCCGCGGCTTCGCTCTCGCTAAAACTACAAAAAAATATCTGAAAAAGGTAGTTCGATACAAACTTTAATCCCCTATTTTACCCCCTTATAGAATGAATATCAAAAATTTTGAAACACGTACTTTTTTAATTTTATTGAAGAGCATTAATACCAAGTTTTAAGTAATTCTGAACATAAATATTTTTAGATTGTATTATAACGTGTTTTTCCGTGGGAAATAGATAATCTCACGCGGTAAAAAGTAGCATAAGTCACTCTCCAGCCCTCACAGACCACTTCACCAGGAAGAAAGACAAACAAACACACTTTCACATTAATAATATTAGTATGAATTCTGAGTCGTATCTGTACATTAAATAGATTTTTTGAAAAATCTTATTGAAATAGTCATTATTATCGATACAGAGGCCGAATCTATAATTTTTAGAATTTCTGTCTGTCTGTCTGTTACCGCATCATGGAAAAACCACTGGAGGGATTTTGATGAAATTTGGTATGATGATAGCTGGTTATCTGAGTCAACATATAGGATACTTTTTACCGCGGGAAAATGTCTCATTTCTGAGAAAAAATAAAAAAACTACAATGTACTGTATACTAACTAATATGTAAAACCTAAGAATTTGATTTTTGGTCATCTGAACGCGGGCGGAGCCGCGGGCAATGCTAGTTGTATAATAATATTTATATTTAAAAAATAAAAACACAAATTGTCAAAAAATATTTATTTATATATTTTCTAACACTACAATGTAGAGTTGAGCTGAGCTCTTAAAGCAAATAGAAAAACTTGAAGCTTTTACTAGTTCACAGAGATAACTATACATATTTATATCTAATATATAAAATTCTCGTGTCACAGTGTTTCTAACAAAACTCCTCCGAAACGGCTTGACTGATTCTTATGAAATTTTGTGTATATATTCAGTAGGTCTGAGAATACTACGTATTTTTCACACCCCCAAGTGATAATGTTGGTCCACCTATGGACGAACCCGAGCGGAGCTAGGGTGAGTCGCTAGTAATATCTATAAGTTTAGCTGCCACCATCGATCAAAAAAGTACGAGATACACAATCAGCGACAAAAATATGTCCTCACCGATTGAGCGCTCGTTTGGACATTTGAGCGCGTTTTTAATTTATTTTTTGTGAAAACACCTTTAAGCATTGCATTTAATGGTTCAATTTACATTGTTGTATATTTATTACACCTAAAATAATTACCTAAACCACATATCATTTATTCTTAATACTATACTAGTACCTAAGCACAATTGGTGACAGTTTTAAGAGAACTTTATCACTTGGGATTATGTATCTAGTACTTTTTAGATCGATGGCTGTCGTATATTTTAAGTTCGGAATACGGCAACGAGCAACAACAAATTGTAATTTATCTATACATATAATAAAATTGTAACTAAGTCGAATCTATACATTAAATATTTTTTGGAAAATCTAATTGAAATAGACATTATTATCGATACAGAGTCCGAATCTATAGTTTTTAGAATTTTTGTCTGTCTGTTACCGCATCACGAGAAAACCACTGGACAGATTTTGATGAAATTTAGTATGATGATAGCTGGTTATCCGGGTCAACATATAGGATACTTTTTACCGCGGAAAAATGTCTCATTTCTGAGAACAAATACAAAAACTGCATTGTAAGAGTATACTAATATGTAAAACCTACGAATTTGGGTTTTGATCATCTGAACGCGGGCGGAGCCGCAGGCATTGCTAGTTAATTAATAAAGATATCATGAGATGTTAATCTGTTAGTTTCTAAATGTGATTTGTACCTAATCTTTAAAGGTTTGATCTATATTGATGATTTTTATGTATATTTAACCCCATTTGATGTTTGGAGCCAGTAGGGGGCGCTGTGGATGAAAGATATTTGAAGCGAAAACTTCTATAGGCTGGTTTGGATGGGGAGTAAAGTCATGTAAGTCGTCATCGACATGGTCATGTGACGTGTGAACGCTAACACTCAGAGTGCCGATAGACAGATACAGACAGAGTGCCGATAGATGTCAAAACCAGATAAATGTAAACAGTTTTAATCTACAAATTTTAAGTTAATATCAAACAATTCATTTGAATATCCAAAAATAACTGTTTGTTTATAGTTTTAAGTTTTCACTTCTGTCGGCAGTCCTCATGACTGCTGTTTTTTATTCTAGTTTTTTTTTTATTTTCCAACAAATCAGCCTACATACCAACACCCACAAAATATGCACATCATACACCCAATAGAAGTTTTATAGTAATAATATAATATAAATAATATAATAATAAGTTAGCATAATTTTATTAATAAAGTAATAATTAAATCACAAAAGGATTTTATGGCGACATAGAATAATAAAATTAAATGTGGCACTCGGAGACTGCCGCGGTACAGCTATTGCATAGCATTTTTTATCAACTTATGCAATTATAATTATTTATTTATTTTATTAATGCAGTATTTTTTTTCCTTGACTTTCTTCATTAATAAATGCACTTTGTTTATTCATATTTAAAACACTTTGTACACAAATTATACGAGTACAGATATTCACTGTTGTACATAGATGATAAATACCTATACACCTATATACTTTCTCACAAGTTGAACTAAAGAGACAAGCGAGACATTTCAAAAAGTCATTAAAAGTTCTGGTATTTATCGATAGATGGAAAAACTAAAAAGTATCACCGCTGTGCCGGTCGGAGTGGGGGGTGTCAGGTTTTTTTCGTTACGGAATTTCTGGATTCGGTCCCCACGCTCAAGGCCCGCGATAGAAGCTATGCAATAGCTTAATAAATAATAAATAAATATGTCAGGACATTAACACACAATACCATCTAGTTCCATGGTAAGCTACGAGGCTTGTGTTATGGATACCAGATAGTTGATACATTATACATATATAACTTTAAATACATACATATTATAAATATAAACACCCATGACTGAAGTACAAACATTCATATGCTCATCACACAAATGAATACCGCAGCGGGACTCAAATTCGCGACCGTTGGCGCAGCAAGTAGGGTCACTACAAACTGAGCCAAACGTGTCGTCAATAATACTGTAATTTCACCAAGCTAAATAAAGATATTTGCTTTTTTCGCTTTTTGGCTGTAATTTTTTCCTCCTTTTTTTGTTGCTCATAATTTTTTCCAAACGTGCCAAAAGAAGTATAACTTCAAAAAATACACGTATACTTTGCACAATATCTTAAGTTAAAAAAATTCACGTAAAAAAAAAGTATTCAATTAATTATCAGTTCATTTTTTATTAGCCTTTTTAAGAATTTATATAAAAAATTAAAATATCTTTAACATATTTAAAAAAACATTGTTATTTCTGAGTATTCTTCATAGAATCTTCTATACTGTGAACACATAGCACTTGGCAAACAGTACATTCCCCGGTTAACAAGTGTCTATGTTCGGGCAGACGGACAAAATCCATACCTGTAAAAGAAAATTTGTTTATGAATAAAAATCGATTGCCGAATGAATGTAATGGTCTCAATTCAAAACAGCTGCACCTATTTGGCTAACTCGTTTATTTTTGATAAATTTTATGGAAAAGTGAAAAATTTGTGTTAAAATATCGCCATATAACAAAACTCTGTGAGTGAGACAAAAATCAGAAGAAAAAAAATCTGTTTTTTTTTGTTAAAGTTATAAAAAAGTTGTGGAACGTTAATATTATATCATACTAGCTATCTTTAAAAATACCAGCAATTACTTTCAATAACTTGCTGCCTAATAATATAAAATAAGTACATATATGCTGTACAAATGAAAATAGATGTACATTTTCATTTCATTTAATTCATCATCAGATCATTTCCTTGCTATAAAATTTAATAGCAATCCAATATCTCATAGTTTTAATAACTCAATAAAGTTTAAAATCAATATATTTAGACTAAAATAAACTTATTAGTGGCCGAATCTATAGTTTTTAGAATTTTTGTCTGTCTGTCTGTTACCGCATCACAGAAAAACCATTGGAGGGATTTTGATGAAATTTAGTATGGTGATAACTGGTTATCCGGGTCAACATGTAGGATACTTTTTACCGCGAGAAAATATTTCATTTTTGAGAAAAAATACAAAAACTGCAATGTAAGAGTATACTAATATGTATAAAAACTTTTTAACAAAAAAGTAAAAACCGACTTCAAACAAAAGCGCTAAAAATAAAAAAAAAACTGATTGGTAGTTTTCATTTACTATACATACCTAATCAAATATTTTCGAAGTCGGTGTGCTTTGCTTTGTATGGGCTGGCACCGATTTCGAAAATATTTGATTAGGTATGTATTTAATAGGTAGGCTTTAATTACTTAGCCAAAGCACACCGACTTCGAAAATATTTGATTAGGTATGTATAGTAAATGAAAACTACCAATCAGTTATTTTTTACCTTTTAGTGCTTTTGTTTGAAGTCGGTTTTTCTTTTTTGTTAAAAAGTTTTTATTTTTCCCTTTTTAGTGTAGACAGTAGTAGCAAAGTAAGAATTCTAACGTAATAGGCTTGTCAAATCAAACAAAACAAGCCCAAACTCAAAGTATCTACTATTAGCCGTTGAAGAGTTCCACCTATCCACCTTCCGGCCTTACCATCAGATCAGGTCAACAATACCGAACTACTGTACTATCAACGGAAATAGAAACACTTGCAAAGTTTCAAGTCAATATGACAATTAGAAGTAGGTTAAATTCATCATTAGCTATTTTTCCACCCTTAGAGGTGGTATTTTTTTTTTAATTTAAATGGGACCTATCTGGAAGTATACACTTTCAAACAACACAAAAATTGTCCAAATCGGTTATTAACCGACGGATTTATTAAATGACGGAGTTCTGAGGTAACAAACATAAAAAAAAATACAGTCGAATTGAGAACCTCCTCCTTTTTGAAGTCGGTTGAAAACCTAAGAATTTGGTTTTTGATCATTTGAACGCGGGCGGAGCAGCGGCCAATGCTAGAATATTATAATTTAAGTTATATAATTTATCTAAAATCTATATTAATCAATTATTTATTTGATTATTTCTTTATACTATTATTGTTTTATTTATTCTCAACCCAAAAAATGTGCAAACAATGGATTGCAGTTCAAAAACTTAGGGTACATGTAGCAAATGGCAATTTTCTTATTATTATTTTTTGTCTAACAATATTAGTTTTGTCATGTATCTTTTTATCTCTAGCTCTCTATAATGTTTTTAATATTTCTTCACTAGCAACTCCCGCTTCACTCAGGTTCTTTCCTAGGTACATTTTAATGGTTAATATGGAATGGATAGTCAACCCTTGCTCTGTGAAAAACAAAAACAAATATATCCCACGTGAACCGTACGTTTTTCTGAGATAAGTAACCTATGTGTTATTCCAGGCTATAATCTATCTCTGTGCCAAATTTCATCTAGACCTGTTCAGCCGTTCTGGCGTGATTGAGTAACAAACATCCATCTAAACTTTCGCATTTATAATAGTAGTAAGATTCCATCGAGAAGATTTTAAGAAAATAGGCTGTAAAAACCATACATACAGATACAGGACAGACGGGTGTACAGTTGAGAAGTATTACATTTATATTATTATAAGATTATATCAATATAAGCAAACCTCTTAGCTCAGGACTACTTCTGTCTTGGTTGCTGGAAGAAGACGATAAAGAAGATTCTAGTTTCCTGTAAAGAAATTAAATTACAAATTTAGCTGTAAGCTAAATTTTTTAGATATTACATACTAGTGACTCATCCTCACTCCTTCACTCGGGTGCATCCCTAGATACATTTTTTTAACGGAAACCTAATTCTGTTTCAACAATAAAAGTAGCCTAAGTTACACCTTGTAACATCAAATATCTACTAGTGAAGTACGGTCCAAATTAGTTAAGCCATTTCAGAGATTAACTGGAACAAACAGACAGATAGTCAGACAAAAATGTTAAAAGTGGTGTTTTTCCTATAAGTATCTACTGTGTATAATTTCATATACATTTAGTAAAAAGCTGTTATCTTGACATCACAAACAGACAATCCAATTCTATTTAATTATTAATATATTAAGTAAGAGTACCTATAAAAATTCCTCTTAGTCAACAACTCAGTACAACAAAAGTTTAGTAATAATTTTTTTTGACAAAAAAATATTTATAAACTGTGAATTCTAAGTATTCAATCAGTATGTTTGTTTGATGTGAACTTGAAATCTAATTTTGTAATACTTCACTATTTTACTATTATACTACTTCAAAAGCCTAGTAATAAAGATAAGAAAGATTTTTTAAAGGTTTCTTCTATGGTTTCCAGTTTTCTTATTTCATGTGTTTCTTGAATTATTTATATAAAAAAATCAAGTTCAAATCAGTTTCTTTAAATTTTAAGATGAATAAATCCTTTCGAATTAAAAAAAATACAAATTGTATTGAATGACATAAACAATTTTAAACAATACCTTTCTTCTCTTTTTCTGGCATCAATTTCTTTCATTTTCTGTTCAGCTTTACTCCATATATCGTCTTGCATCTGCTCTTGCATCTTACTCATTTCTAAATATTTTTGATATCTTTCCCCAGCAAAAGCAGACGGTACAAACTTTGCAGGCTCTATTGAATCTATTTCTGTTGACACATCTTTTTCACTTTTATCAACATTTTCAATAAGTTTGGTCGGAGATTTCTTTTTAAACATTAACATTGGTGAAGTAAGTTTAAGATATTGATATCTTGTCATAGAATTATCAGTGTCACTTTTTGTTGTCACTTTTGTATTTTGTTCCTGATTACTCTCATTTAGATCAATATCTCCATATGTTGCAATGAGCGATTCTACAGCAGCATTGCGATTCTTTTTTTGTTTTAATTTTATTTCAGAACTTATGGGACTTTTTAGCTTCTTAGATCCATTATTTTTGACATCTAACACTGGTGGTGTTTTACTTAAGTTATTTCCTTTACTTATTTCTATAACTGTCTCATTTTTTGTTTCTAGATCTTCAATTTCTGCTTCTCTTACCTGGAATATTTGGCAATTATATAAAAAATATTATTTTTTCATTAAAAAATACAAGCATAGGATTTTTTTATATTTCATAAACTGCCTTTTATCTATACTGAAGATACTAGAAAAGTGATAAGAATGAACTATAAGTTGGAAAGAATTTAAAGATATGCGAACTAGGATTTGAAAGCCTACAACATATCAGTTACACATCAATGGAGTCTGGAAGAAACTTACTTAAAAACCTACCATATCTAACATCTGCTGAATAAGTTGTAAGTCAGGTCCAGTATTACAGTCTCCTCCTCCAACACAATTGGAGAAAAATTCTTCCTCAGTCTCTAAAAAATATAAAGTAAGATAAAAATACAAAAAAATAATATTCAGAGAATTGTATATTTATTTTATAATAATATTTATTATTTATACCTTCAGTGTAATTTAAAGCTGGTGGTTTTTCATTGTACCCTACTGTGTTTTCAAGTTCCACTGGAACCTCACGTCCCTGAGCTAAAGATAAATCTCGCAGAATTGCATTTTTACTCGTCCAGTGCGATGCCATTCTGAGCTTGTATGTTATACTCAATTTAAATTCAAAATATCTAAATGTATTTTTTAATTAAATCCAAATTTTATTATAATCACTAATTACATAGAGAATTCCATGATTGTAGGAAAATAATTTTAACGATCTCCAATATAATTTAAAAGAGAATATAACCATCCATTTAGATCTGTTTGGTTTCTTTTTAAGATTTTATAGATATTCAGAATTCTTTGTTTGATGTCACGACCATGGATGACAAATAAAAGTCACGATTCACGAATAAAAATATTACATGTAGGTAATTGTCAATGTCATCAGTAAATTTTAAACGGTCATTTTTTACTACAGATAATAAAGAGTATAAGGCGCACTCCACACCGAGATCCTCGCCGATAATCTCGGCAAGAATCTCAGCGACAATATCGGCGAGAGCTTCTTTGACTAAACACTCGCAAGGTTCTCAATATAGTTCTCACGCTCGATGACGATGGATGCAGAAGTAACTGCTGTGACAAGCTTATTGCTATGCGCATTTACATATTATAATTAGCTTAAATTAAACAGTAGTACAGCAATATACTCTATGTTTTAAATGATATGGGACCAAGATAAAGAGATGGACTAGTTATTAGCTGAAGTTTTATTCGCAGCATTTATCTTTAAATTAAGCCAATCGTCTACTTTTTATATATACTCTTTGATTTCCTTTGTCATTAAGTTGTTGGAATTGTTCAAATTATCGCATACGGGACTTTCCCTTTCCATAATTTCATCATTTTGTTCTATTTAAGTGAGTAGATATATTGCATTACTGTTATTATATGAGAAATCTATACATATAATAAAATTGTAACTAAGTCGAATCTGTGCATTAAATATTTTCTGGGAAATCTTATTGAAATAGTTATTATTATCGATGATGATGATGTTCTCCTGACCGATTCCGGCCACGGCGGCCAATCTCATTGAGGTGAGCCAACTGTGCAGGAGATATTATAGTGCACAAGTGTACGAGCAGACACAAGTGCACTCTCTATTCCTATCACTCTCATACTCCGGTGGGAGGACTGCTCGACACGACCAGTGAGAGTTAAGGCGCAGGACCGACGGCTTTACGTGCTCTCCGAAGCACGGGGGTGAAACACCGCCAACTACCCAACTCCGGGCTGTTACTGAGGCTTACTATACAGAAAGACTCAATAACTAAACTTGGCTCGACCCGGGACTCGACACCAGGACCTCCGGGTGTGCTGCTGTACATGCTAGCCACTACACCACCGAGGCAGTATCGATACAGAGGCCAAATCTATAGTTTTTAGAATTTTTGTTTGTCTGTTACCGCATCACGGAAAAACCACTGGAGGGATTTTGATGAAATTTGGTATGATGATAGCTGGTTATCCGGGTCAACATATACAATACTTTTTAACGCGGGAATATATCTTATTTCTGAGAAAAAATACAAAAACTGCATTGTAAGAGTATACTAATATGTAAAACCTAAGAATTTGGTTTTTAGTCATCTGAACGCGGGCGGAGCCGCGGGCAATGTTAGTCTATTATAATATCATCTTTTGTGTCTTTGCACATATCAATATCAATCGCTTGATGGAGACTTTCGTCTAATTCCACAGGGGTATTAGAATTTGTATTATTATCTGAACTTATGTCAGAGTCTAAAACCTTGGCATCCGAATTTTTCTTAGAAAAGGGTATAGTCGGATAAGGATAGCGAACCGGCTCACTATGGGAAAATCGCGTATGTTTCGTCTCAAAACTCCGTATCTCAGTTGTTTCAAAACTAAATGAGCTGTAATTTTGCACACATATACTTGTATGTACAAAGTTTAATGGAAATAATTTTGATTTTGAAAATTCTGTTTATTAATTAATTTAAGAAATAAAACTTAAAAAAATACATGCATTCATATTATATTCATTCATACATTTTAAATAAAACTATCTTTTCGGATTTTGTCGCGGACAAAATCCGAAAAGATAGTTTTATTTAAAATGTCAAATATTCGCGTAAATCTAAGAAAGTTTCATTCATACATATTGAAAAGTAAACAAAATTTGTCTTTTTTTTGTAATTTACATAAAATGGACTAATAGTAACAAACGAGAAAAAAAATATGTACAAAATTCAGGAAGCTCCTACAGATTTTCGTTGATAGCAAGAGATATTGTTTCTGAGGTGTTTCTCAAACAATGTGGTGTTTTAATATGTATGGATCAGAAGTGTACAATAAGGTATGGAACACGTCTTCATTGGTAGCCACTCTTGAACACTTTCTAGAATGATGAAGTCTAAACTTTTTGTAATCCTTATTTCGGGATTCTTGCGCGTCTTCGGACAATTGTCCGATAGGTAAAATAGCATAGTACTCAATGATTTTGTCTCCGTGAATAAGTATTTTATGCACGGACGAAGGCATATAATACCAATTATAAATATTTACGTACAGTTGGGCTGTACTCTATGCGTATTCACCGAACTTTTTTGAATTAATAGCCATTCCAGATGACATAGTTTGTAGTATTATGTACATTCGTTTTATAAATTCTACGTCTACACCTGTAATGTCTGCAGAGCAAAAGTAATTCTGACATTATCTCCGAGCTGTGTTTCCGTAATTAATATTTCCAGTGCCTTGTCGAGGTTTATCGACATGCAGTCCCATTTCCTCCCTAAACTGCTTTTGTACCAGTTTTTTCTTTTTGACCTTTTTCTGCTGACCACTTTTCAAAAGACAAGTTATAAGAAATGTGTAAGATCATCTCCATACTCCTAATCCAAGCATGTAGTGTTGACAGTCCGTATTGAAATGAACTTTCATTCACATCTCGTGTCCTAACTGCCTCTAAGTTATTCATTTGCCGAGGAGTAGCACCACAAACTGTACAAGAAGCGCTCGAACGAGTCTCAGTTAAAACTTGTGCCACTTTACCATCAATCATGGTTAAAATAGGTCATGAGTAATTTCGATTACCTCACCATCCTTATTTATCAAGGAGGGAGACAGATTTTGTTTTTGATTGTTGATATCAGCCACAACAGACGCGGTTTTTTCAGGAGTTTCTTTGGCCAATTCTAACAATATAGGTCTGCAATATCTTACAGATGAGCAAGTTTCATTCTTCCAAACAACAGTATTAGTTGTCTCATCTATGAGTCTAATGGGTACAAGTAAAGCAATAAAAAGGTTTGCATCTGATATTAAATCGCTCTCTTCGGGCAAAACTTGCTTGTATTCACTCTGTCCTGATGACCCGTCACAACCTCATTTACAGAATAGTTTCAACTTTCTTAAACTTTTTTTGTAAACTGAATTAATTAACTGAAGTAATATACGTGCCACAGTATGATCCAACAAGTCCTGCAGATTGACTTTTGCACTTATGTTAGTAATGGTTATGCTCGAATCTGGTGGGTAACACATCTTCTTCGCTTCGACTAAAGTTGGATAAGAAGGAAACACTGGAGCAGTTTTTGTCCGCCAAACAAAGTCGAAGTTTCCCATACTGTCCTTTGTTAAGATCTAAGTCAATAAAGGTCCATAGTACTTCCTCCTTTGAAAAAGGTGTAACGTCTTCAGAGTTCTCAGTAATGTATTTAAGATTTTTTTCTTATCATTTTTTGATGCAGTTCGTATAATATTAACGATTGTGGCCTCCTCCGTCTCACCCATAGACCGTAACTCCTGAGCATATGCATTGAGCACACAGTCCAATCCGTACTCTTGTATTAATTCCATGTTTTTTCGTTTCTTTGTTTTTTCTGAAGATGCTTCGTATGGTTTCGAAGGTCTGCCACCACGACTTCCAGACGTATTAGGGTAATTAACCGTGACACGACGCTCTAGTGGAACACGAAATTGACCATCTAACCAATTGACGTTCTTACTTTCAAAGCGTTCTTTTATCCGAGATGCATTTCTCCAGCGTTCGTTACATTTAGATACCAAGTTTCTTTGAATGTAAGAGATCACGGTAGCCATATCCTCTGGTGACAAATTGAAATTTTCTTGTAAGTAGTCTTCTATATTATTCCCATTTATCAACAAATTACACAACTCTCGCTGGCAGTGGTAGCCCAGTGGTAACGCGCTCGCTTGAGAAACCGAGTGAAGCGGGTTCAAATCCCGGGTCTCGCACCTCTGATATTTTCATGTGCGAATCATTTCTAACATGATTACCACTTGCCTTACGGTGAAGGAAAACATCGTGAGGAAACCTGCATGTCTGAGAGAACTTAGCAAGTTTTCTAAAGACATGTGAAGTCCGCCAACCCGCACTTGGCCAGCGTGGTGGACTATGGCCTGATTCCCCTCGTACTGAAGGGAGGCCCGTGCCCAGCAGTGGGACGATAAAAAGGGCTGAATACACAGGTATTAACTGCTTTTTAGGGCAACTGACTGTCTGACCAACAACTGTGAATTTTTCAGGGCTCGCCTTCCTTTTATAGGCCAATGAAATAGTGCTATGTGCAAAAAGATAAGAAAATAATAATTTACACTCTTCCCATGACCAACCTGTTTTTAATTCGTCCCTAATAGATAAGTGACCATATTTTATCAAGTAAGGTGGTCAAAACTGTTTCAAAACCAGAAAAAACTATTAATAATACTCATCACTGTAATGAAATTTTTATCAATTTGACCTTAATAGATAACAAATGATTTTATGAGAAATAAAAAGAAATTGAAAAAATAATGATTTTTACCTCGCGATATGTTTTGACACCGTGACAAAAAAAGTGCAAATATATACAATTTTTTTTTCTCCTTGCGTTAGCTAATGTATAAAGATCTTAATACAACAAATATCTCGACAGCGGCAAGCAGCGGTAATGGTTAAACGTCTCGTTAAAAAAAATAACCCTAAAAACAAATCATATTAAAAACTATATTGGTTAATTTTATTTTATCAAACTAATATATATAATACTAATTACGAAACGTTAAGAGGAGATTATAAGCATTTAAAAAATGTATAATAGTTATACATTCATATCAAAAACTTTCGAGTAATGTGGCGTTGAATTGTAGTAACGCATTGTGTCAAAACTACGTTATTGAACATGAGTTAGCTTTGAAGCCTATTTATATACATTATAAAAAAAAAATAAAAAAAAAATGGATAAAGAAAGCTTATTTATTAGACTATATTAATTTATTATTTTTATTCCATAACAACGACTTTCCCGTGAAACGGTTTTGAGACGGCTTTGTATGGGACTTTCCCATAGTGCGGCCCCCTAATGACAACCTATATCGAAACTTATGTGTTAATAAGGGCTTGATGTAGAAAGGCGATTCATATGAGTTTCACTGCCGTACTCCGCTTTGATCTTGAGATATGAAGAAAAATGAGCGTAACTATGAGTTTCGTTCAAAAGGGTATCTATTTCTCGGAAATCTTCAAAGCTAGAAACTTGAAACTAACGCGAGGTTTAAGGTACCCTTTGAGAGCATATATATATTTTTTTGATTTTTATAAAAACTTAAAAAAAACCGACTTCCAGGCACTAAAATGTAAAAAATAACTAAACGGAGATTTTCATTTAGAATAGATACTGATGTTTTTGAAGTCGGTGCCCCGACGCAAAGCAAATCTAATATATTTCGATATGTAAAATACATATCTATTCATATCTTAAAATATTGTAGGCTGCCACCGACTTCGAAAATATCTGATTAGGTATCTATAGTAAATAAAAACTACCAATCAGTTATTTTTTACTTTTTAGTTTTTTTTTTGAATTCTGCTTTAATAAAAAAAATTACACACGATGTAATAAATGTGTTGGTTGAAAAAATAAATGTGTTGGTGCACTCATTCACGGTAATGTAAAATATTACCGTGACTCATTTATATTTTTTTTCGAATACACTAATTTGACACTTTGACGAATTGCTGAAAACCAGAGTATTTATAGAACCCTAGTTTGTAAGGGATCATCCATTAATTACGTGAGACAACTTTAGCGATTATTCAAACTACTTTTTTTCGCTTCGCTCGGGTTTGCCTCTAGAAAAACACAAACCAATCTATCACTCTGGATCCGTACAATTTTCCGGGATAAAACATAGCCATGTGTTATTCCAGACTATATAAACTATCTCTGTGCCAAATTTCATCCAGATCCGTTCAGCCGTTCTGGCGTGAAAGAACAACAATCCATACTCACAAACTTTTACATTTATAATATTTACACAGATATGAATCTGTATATCATCTGAATAGAAGATACATACGTGAAGAGTAAAAAAAGAATAAGGTGTTTAAAAATGATGTTGTTACAGTTGATAGTATTGTTTCCATAGTTTTCAGTAAAAAACTATAATAATGTCGCATTAAAAGTCTGATTTGATTTAGAAAAAAAACGTTAGCTATCTCCTAAGTTGCACTTACTACGTACGTCATATTTTTCTTTTCATCAGAAACATTACTTATTCATTGATTACTAAAGGGTATTCTTCTTCTTCTTCTCCCTGCCCATTTTCCAATCACTTGGGGTCGGCGCAGTACATCTAAAGGATATTATTAAATAAAAAAAATCACATATTACTAAAAAATCTTTATTTCATAAAAAATTGTTTTACACAAGAAAATACATCGAGACTTTCTTTGGTAAAATACAATGATGTTACCATGTCGGGTAAAATTTAAAATTTAACGCTAATATTACTCATTATACTTACTATGTATAACTTGTTTTCAGTCTAGAAGACATTACATTTTATAATAATAATTTAAAAAAACAATATGTTCAAAAACAATGTTTCATTAAATGCAAAGAGATCCAAAAAAATCTTTTGATTGTTCTGTAGCATATTTTTAAATAAGCAATTTATATTACTGCTATTACATCAACAGCAAATATTTAATTAGGTATATTACGGTCTACCTGACCAAAGTTAAACGCTAAACAATCAGAACGTGCTTTTTAGCTGAATTTGTTAAATTATTCAGGTTGAAAAACTTGTTTCGAAAATGGAAAACAAACAAAATAATATAAATATTTAATATTTAAAATAATTCACATCGTGTCTGCATGTAATAAGTTTTCATATTTGAAGAAACACGAATCTACTGTAAAGATATGGTTTTTATTTTCAAAATGAATTTAGAAAGGACGTAAAAGTTTTCAAACAAACAACACTAATAAATGAATGCACTAAAAATATGCCATAATAAATTCGCCGTTATTAACAAATATGAGAAACACGCACTCTGCACAGTACGTAGTTAGCCCAGTAAGATTGTCGAAAAAAAGGATCCTAAAATAAATTATAAATGAGATAATACAGTACAAAACCTCAGGCTAAAAAAATTAAATGAAAATTAACTTTATTCAATTACATGAGCACTTTGGTCCATATATAATTATAAATTATTATAACGTAATACTAACATCATTTATAATTTTATACTAAAATTTTCAACTATTACAGCCAATATCACAATTTTTTGCCATTTTTTAAAATTTTGACTACATATTTTTACCCTACTAAATAAAAAAAAAATCGTTAAAAAAATTTTCTTTAATGAAAACGAGTAGACAATTCAAAGGATAATCGGCAATCATGACTGCAATAATTTGTATTTGATATGATATTTGTCGTTTGTTAATGTGTTTTTTAATTTTTCACAACACATAATACTTTAATACTTTTTTAGATTTCTGCGAATATTTGTCATTTTTTTAGAACTATGTTTTCGGATTTCTTCGCGGTTTTTTTTAATTTTTGGTTCCCGACGTTTCGAATGCTTTTCAGAAATCATGGTCACGAGCGAGACTTTGGCTTCAGTTTTGAATTTTTGGAATTCATTTTGTTATTTTGTGGGTAGGCTGTCTGTAACAACTATATAATACCATCAGACATCTAAAACCTTAGGCTGTCCCGTGACCATGAGTGCTGTAAAGCATTCGAAACCATACTTTCAGTTAAAATTTTCATTTTTAATTATTCATTTTTTTTTGCATTATCAATATACCAAATTATTTAATCCTCATGTTCTTACATTTAATCTACATTAACTTACATACTAACACTTACAAATCCGTAAAAAATATTTTTTTCTATTATAATATAAATGGGAATAGTTAATAAAATAATAATATTAATTTTTAAAAAAGTACATTCTAACTATTTTTCTACATTTTAAAATGTATAAAGTTTCATATTTTTACACGTCTTGTGCTTAGTTTGTGCCTAACTTTTATATAAATTGAACACAAATATGTATACATATGTCTTCGATATGTGTAAAAGTTAGAATAATTACATATTCAAACACATCGTTTTTATTTAACTTCATTCACTACACATTTTATGTCAAAAAATCACGGAAATACAAAGTAAAAAAAAAAACAAACATTTTATTTTCTACCGATTCCGATACAAATATATATCCCGCCCAATAAATCATTTTAATTCAATATCTTTTTTTTTTAAATCTCTTATTAAATATTAAAATAAATACAATATTTTGGACGGATTATATCCTAAATCTTATTAATTAAAAAAAAGACAAATAAAAATATATTTTTTATCTGCACACATTACAAATTAAAATATAAAAAAAAATCTTTACACGAGTTATGTAACCCAACACGAGCTATTTAGATATCCTTCTCGGAAGGATCTTATATTTTTGATTTTAGATCTTTCTTAAAAGGATCTATTATTATAAACAATGTAAATGTAAAACAATTGAGTTGTAACAGATAGCAAGCAATTACGATAAATAGTTTATGGGTCCTTATTTTTTGTGATGGGAACCCACACACACTACCGCACTCATGTCCCTTTAAAACCTTAGTAAATAAGGTTATTAATGAGTTGTATTTGTCATTTCGACGAAAAACGTTGTTTCATTACAACCCCCGTCCCGATAACTTAACTCACGTCTTGTGCTTATTTTGTTGTACTTACTTAATTCTAAAATCCTGCACTTTTCGATTTCTATTTAAATCGTTATTATTCCATTCAGATACAATATTAATCACTCGATTTATCGAATATCGATTATAATCGAGCGATGAATATATGAATATGTATAAATAATAAAATTATAATACATTATAAAATTTAATAATAATAAATAATAAAATATTGCTAATATTCAAATACATTCAGATAATTTAGATTTTTACTAAAATAAAATTGAAGACATGCAGGTACATAAACGTCAATAAAATATTAAAATCGGCAGTTTTTTTCAAATATAAGACTTAATCATTTATATAAATGAACACCAAATATATACTTAACCTACATTTAAGGAAAAAAATATGTATACCTTATTTGATAAACTCTAAATATTTTGAGTATGAATATAGTGTGAATATAGCTTTATAATAAAAAGACTTAAGTTGTTATTTTAGTTTGGTATGAAGACACTACACTAATCTCCCGAATTGTATTATTATATAGAATATTTAATAATATGTCTCGAAAATAACATAGAACTATTTTTTTTTAAATAAACACTGCAAAATCTAATCGGCGTTAGTTTGCAGACGCTTTTTCTTAATAACCTCGTCTCTGACTTTCAAATCGGATTCCAATTTCGTCCAAATATCTTGATTTGTTAGTTGATTATCTCTCGCTTTATTTCTTTCCTCGTATTTTTTCGTCAATTCACTAGCGAATGTCGATGGGACGAACACTTCATTACTCTTTTCAGAATTTTGGCTTTTGAGCTCTGATTCAACTGAAATCGGTGACATTGGCTTAGAATTGGTTTTTCTTTTAAACGTTATAGGACCAAGATAAAGAGATGGACGAGTTATTGCTGAAGTTTTATTCTCAGCATTTATTTTTGGATTGAGCCAATCGTCTACTTTTTGTATAGACTCTTTAATTTCCTTTGTCATTGAGTTGTTCAAATTATCGCTAACGGGACTTTCCCTTTGCATAATCTCATCATTTGAATTACTGTTATTATTTGAATAATCTTTTATATCATCTTTTGTGTCTTTGCACATGTCAATATCGTCAAATACCACAGGAGTGTTAGAATTTGTATTTTTATTGGAACTCTTGTCAGAGCCCGACATCTTAGCGTCATGATTTACACTTTTTTTAAAGTAATCAGGAGTCATAAGTTTAGGTTTTTGTCCATCATTGTTTATTTCATTGTTTGGTTGCGTGTGTAACTTTACTAGCATCGCAATAGCTAAATTGCGTTCTCTTTTTACTTTAACACACGATGTATTAAATGTGTTGGTTATTTTAGTTTTTAATTTCTCCCTCATCTCTTTTATTTCATTGGAGTCTTTAATACTAATGCTTTTGTTACTTAAAGTATTAATTGACCTATCACGTGCCTCAGTGCTTTTATGTTCACTAGTTCTACGGTTATGTTTTTCTTCATCTACTTCACTAACCACTAAATCATTATTTGCTACAATTGCGCTATCCTTATTACAAATATCATCATCACTACGTGGTACAAATTCGGCTACGTTTGGGTTCAATTTGCTAATGGTTATTACAGTATTCGTGTCTTGTTTTTTGGTTTCCTTTGCTTTATTATTGACTGGTGAATCGTTGTATTCGTCTACCTGGAAGTAATATTTTCATATTTGAATTTTCTCGATACTTTAACATATGAAGAATGTGAATTCTTTGGTGTTAAGATCAAATTAAAAGAATACTTTTGAGAAAAACATACGCGATGAATTTGAACTCTTATGAAGCATTTATTAGGCATCTCAAGTGTACATAAGATGCGTTTTAGAGTTATAACTCGCGTCATCTAAAAAGAACGCTGGCTGTCAAGCTGCGCAGAACGATTTATCGGTCAAATGTTTAACACAAATGTTTTTAATTACGAAATGGTTTTATATATGTATAGAAAAGAGAGAAAAAATATTTTTGACGTATATTGTTTTATAAAAACAGAGTTTGATAATAATCCAGTTAATAATTAAAAAAAAATGTATAAAACGTATCAATTTAATTTTTTGTAAGTAGATTAAACATTCTACACTGAATCAAACATATTTTAATAATGAATAGAATTATATTTAATGATATTCTATCTAATATATTTTTCAATGTCCCTACGAATAACTAATATATGAAGCCGCGAGCGAAACGCTATGAAAAATAAAATAATAGGCTTAATACTTTTGTGCGCGAGTATACCCATGCGCACACATACCCCCTCCACTTTCTTCCAGCGTTCTTTTTACAAGCCGCGAGTTATACATACTCAAATGGTAAAACGGATCTATTTAAGATATTTTTAAGACATTTTGTTCGGAGACTAGTAAACGATATTATTGAAATTTGGTAGCTGTGTTAGGTCCTATTTAAAGTGCTAAATAATTCGGTAGTCAAATTACAAAAAATGAAGAATAGGGATCGCAGTACATACATGTAACTGAGGAGTTAAAATTTGGTCCACATATCTCATATGCAATTTTGCAAGATGATACATTAAACATAAACAACGTATGTAAAAAGCATAAATAAATTTAATGTATTCTGCTACGGAACTTTCGATGAGTCAGACTCGCACTTGACAACACGTGTGTACAATATTTTTTCATCAGACAAATAGCTCAGTTACGGTTTCCAATATCTATATAGCTCGTTATGTCAACAAACCAAAAAAGTGCATCTAGTAGTGTATAAACAATCTCGGGGTTCTTGGTATTTGGTATTACGTTACATTTGAAGTATTTTTCAATGGATATTATATGTACAGTCATAGGTACGTCGATATAGCGTTCTTTATATAGATACACTAGCATTGCCCGCGGCTCCGCCCGCGTTCAGATGACCAAAAACTAAATTCTTAGGTGTTACATATTAGTATACTCTTACATTGCAGTTTTTGTATTTTTCCTCAGAAATAAGATATTTTCCCGCGGTAAAAAGTATCCTAGGATCGCGCGCTACATCGCCCGGTTTATATAGCTTGAGCAGGCGGTCGAGCGATGCGGGGCAGAGGGGATGGACTCGCCGTAGGCATCTCAATGCTCGCCAAGCATTAAAAATGTTTCGCTACTAATTACTTCTAACAACGATATCTCAAAAACTATTCATCTGATTGATTTAGTGTAAAGAGCAATTTTAATCTGCATTAAATGACTAAGCTAACTAAAATATTCATTTGGATAAGGATTAATACCGAACTAAAGAAAATAACTTTGAAAATAACGTAATGTTTTTAATTAAAAATGTTAACATAAAAGTGGTTATTGTAAGTCAACCGTAAGAGATAGAGATATGCTATCGCGGACTTTTTTGTAGCATTTTTATAGATTTTGAATTCTCTAGTACATTACTTAACTGTATCTTTGCTAGTTTACGCGGCGTTCGCGTGGAAAGTTCCCATTTGGCGAGATTTTTTGCGACCTCTTCAACATTTGTCGCCGTATTTCAGCTAATTTACATAAAAGCATAATAAATTATATACCTAAACCTTCCTCAAGAATTACTCTTTCTATTGTTGAAAACCGTATAAAAATCCGTTCAGTAGTTTTCGAGTTTATCGCGTTCAGACAGACAGGAGGACAGACAGGAGGACAGACAGGAGGACAGAAAGACGCGGCCGGGGGACTTATTTTTATAATAAGTATAGATATAATAAAAAAGTCGAATCTGTACATTATTATTTTTTTTAAATCTTATTGAAATAGTCATTACTATCGATACACACGTCGAATCTATAGTTTTTAGAATTTTCGTCTGTCTGTCTGTCTGTTAACGTATCACGAGAAAAGCACTGGACAGATTTTGATGAAATTTAGTATGATGATAGCTGGTTAACCGGGTCAACATATAGGATTCTTTTTACTGCGGTAAAATATCTCATCTCTGAAAAATCTATACTATGCAGGTAAATTTCTAAGAAATCTATTGTTAACTGTAACGCCGGCGTGTTGGCGGTCGTGGAGGGAATAATATCAGTCGAATCCGTTAACACGGGAAGAAATTACACAAAAAACACACGCAGTCACTCAAAAACTTTCGCATAAAATATATGTGTGACTAAAGCGCTTTTAAGATTTTAGATAGCAAGAAAGTTATTTCATAGTTGTTTTAAAATTATAAACAATGGCGTCAGCGGGTATTATCGCTTTATTTATAAAGAATGATTTGATTACCACAAATTTAGGTTTTTTCACACAACATTAATATTTTTGAAAATTCAAATTTCCGAGAAGTCATGGTTTACAATTAAATTAAAAAAAATATATTTTCTTAGATTTACACAAATATTTGATATTTTAAATGTATCTTATATTTTTCGTGTTACCTATAACGTGAGTTTCATTTTTATTTTAAATGTTTTACATCAAACATAGTCACGGGAGAGGTTAAGATTTTTGATGTTAATAAAACAAAAAATATCAAATAAAACCGTGATAAAATCTGAAAGGATAGTTTAATTTTAAATACCGACGAGCTTTTATATTATATAAATTGTATAATGTAATAAATTGTTGGATGTAATTTAATTTAAAGTTCACTTTCCTCTGTTTATAGCATTTAAATACTTTTATTATCCCTCCACGACCGCGGACACGCCGGCGTGTCAGTTAACGATAGATTTCTTAGAATTTTAATTAATTTCTTAGAAATTTACCTGGAGGTGTTGAAATTGTTTTAAAAAGCTTGAATTAAATAATATATTTTTTACAATTATTTTAGTGAAACCCTGCACATTCATATTTCGTCGTCTCAACACATGTCACAGAGCAATAAAGTGATATTTTTAAATGCAACATACTTGAATGGAGTGGTAAATTGAGAGTTGAGAACAAAAACAAAGGTTGTCCACTATTTTCTTGATTCATTGTCCGAAAAAAGAGCTAAGTGTTTAAGTGTTTCATGAGGATTTAAAATGCTTCACATTTCAATGTTCAATGTTGTTTGTTCTGTGGCTTATGGTGTGCCATTTCGGCATAATTTACTTCTCCAATGTCGTGTAGAATTCACATTTTAACAGAAACTATGTAATTTGAAATTACTTATATAATACAATTTGTAACTAAGGAATAGAAGTCTAATGTTTGGTACTGGTCACAATGTTGGTTATATTACTATTAAATTAGATAAATTTGTGTTCAAATAATACTTTCTTTGATTTACATGAACAGTTGCCATTTTAAAAAGTCTACCTTTTCAGATTTTTTCGAATGTTTTGTTTCAAATGCTTTACAGCAATCATGGTCATGAGAGAGTATCTCCCGTAAAGACAGTTCTATTTAATAGTGTGTTATTTTCTTTATTTAAGCAGAATTTACATACGACATATAATATATTATAATAAATAATATAATAAATTTTATAGAAGATAATATTCACTTACCATTCTTAACATTTGTGTGATACCCTCTAAATCAGGCTCCACTATGTCAGTATTATTTGGACTCAAGGGCTGATGTCCCCCATACAATCGAAGTAGTTGTAGCTCCTCCTCTACATAAGAGATATTTTATCATAAACTACTACCCCATGTACTCTTATTTACAATATTTTCTAGGATAAATTATATGATATGAACATGAAGATAGATATTTACCATGTTCTAAAATTGTATTAAATTCCCAATAAATTGATATGTAAGAGCCATGGTTATATTTGTGAATACTGCACATGTAGTAAAAAAATATATATATTCTGTTTCAAATAGTAAAAATAGTATTATGAAGGCTTAAAACTTTATTCTAATTGTACTTACCTGAGGCTTAAAAATATCTTTTGATTTTAATGAAAGGACTTGAATACTAACTTAAATAAGAGTCTAACTTTGGTATTTTTCATACATTAAAAATATGCTTTTTTTTAAGCAGGTTTAAAATAAGAGTGAAACATTTCTTTTAAATTTTTATATCACTGCAATGAAAATAACTAAAAAAATCAACTTTAAGAAGAATAAAGACATTTAACTAAACAATATCTTTTAACAATCATGAAAAGATTACTTTTAGTATAAAGGATAATAATGACATTTTTTACTTATTATTTTTTTGTTCAAATTATGTATACAATGGATAGATGGCTAGGTCGAAATTGCAGCATATGCAAGTTTAAATGTAGGTTATTGTTATTGCATATGATTGATTACAAATACTAAGCTATAAATTATAACAAAATTAAAATAAAATTAATAACCTTTGACACTGACAGACAATTAACATAGAACCACTGAGTTTGATTAAAGGAATATAACATTTTGCACAAGAATTCCTTTTATTGAAAGTGAAAGTAAGTAGGTATCTACTAAGGGATTTTTTTGAAGAAATTCAAAAGTTTCGAAATTGTAATTTTTAAAGAAGGAAATAAGGAAATGAAGTTAATAAGCATATATTGTCAGTGACAAATTTCATAGGGCCTATCGTTCGTCGAATTAAAATTAAAGAAAAACATTGTTCCCAAAACAAATACAAACCTTTATCAGCTGTTCTGTAAAATGGCGGTGGTTGTTCACCAACAACAACATACTCTTCATCTAGATCAGAAACGCGAGTCCCGGAAGCCTTTGATAAGTCTTTCATAACATCTTGTTTAGAATACCACCCTTTAAATGCCATTTTACTGTAGCTAAAATATATTACACAATATTTAACACTAAAAAAATAATTTCTATATCAACAATTGCACTAAAGTTAGATGTAGGTAATGGTACAATATTTTCTTCTTCTAATTTTAACACGTCAGTGAATGTAAATTTTATAAAAAATTAACACATGTTATCGTCCAAAAAATTTTATATTTCGAAATCTAATGTACAGAAGACTGGAGACTACCTACACCAAATGAGTAATGACTATTGACTAATGACAACTGACAAGTGGCAAAGACAAAGAGCCTCCGTCAGGGTTGGATCCAGAGTTTATATATGTATAATATACTCTGCAATATACTCTAAGATCCAGAGCCTCAAAAAAATATTGTACCTACCTATAGAATAAAATTATACTACTTGTCCAAAATTATACTACGTTTGACGTTTCATGTTTTTCACGTTTCGTTTTACGGCGTTTTTGTATTGAATTGAAATAAACTTGCATAAGTATTAAAATTGAAAGAGAAAAAAAACACAATGGAAAAGAATTTGTTAAACAAATCTACTTTCAATATACAATTTTTATGATGAATATAATTTTTTCTCGTGTTTTTCCTCTCAGAATGAGTCGATAAAACATGCTTTGCGGCCATCATTGAAACATTACATACTTTACATCGTGCTTTGAAGTTATATTGAGGATCACGAGTAAGCCACTTACTAAATTTTGGATCACTCTCCCATTCGATTCTGTATTTTTGTTGTCTATGTTTTTCCTTCACTTTTAAATCGCCTCTTTCAACGCGTTTCTTCTTTGGCGTCGAAACACCGCACTTTGTGACTTTTATTCGCCCTTACTTTCACTCATGATTACAAATTGCGACTACAAAATAGTTTATTCTCAAAATTGTCAAAGCGTAAGAAACAATAATGTACACACGTCACACACTACCATAATGTACTAGATTATAACTTTATACTAATCATGGATGACAAATGATACTAATGTATCTATACTGCAACAATTCACTGTGAAGTTTTGTACTTAGTCAAAATATTGCTATGAACATAATATGACGGTAATATTACATATTACATTACCGTGAGATATCGTCTCTCTCGCAGTTATCATGGATGGCAGTTATTTATAAATCGGTCCAATTATGTTTATGACAAAAATGTCAGAATGGATGGAATAGTAAAACATCACATGGGGAAACCCCGCCTACCTTGTCATTGCCTAATTTGGTGCTGCCGTACGTTCAGAAATTCCCGAGATTGTAGAGTTAATATTAAAAAGTAAAAGTACTCACCAATAATACAAGTCGGTCGACCTAAAGATAAAATTATGGTATTTTTACGTAGTATAGTGGCAATACGATACTACATACTACACACTATGAAATAATGGTACAATTAGTATAATTATACTACGAAATCCAACACTGGCCTCCGTAGGGTTTACATTCTCTTTGCAAAGAGCCAAGTGGTCTCGAACGTCAATGTGCGAAATCGGTAGAGTTGCCTACAAAAATCGGTATATTTGGACCCATAATCAGTAAAAAAAAAACAATATTCATTCAAATAAAGTTTATTTATTAACCGACTACCAAAAACGAGGAGGTTCTCAATTCGTCGGAATCTTTTTTTTTATATCCATTATCATTAATTTATAAAAGATATTGATATGACAATAAAGATACCAAAATAGTTTACAAATAGGTATCTATTGTGTGTCTAAGTCATAATAGAAACATGGTAACATGTCATACTAAGCACTGTGGCAGATTAAATGTTATTTTTAAATATAAAAAAAAATATATTCCAGGAGTTGTTTCAAAGTAGACTACTGTAAATTACTAATGTGTAAAAGTGTCTCTTCGAAGTTAATAAAATTAATGAAAAATAAAACCCCGAAATCTTCTTTATATACAGTTTGTTTGGGAATCCCGTAAAACATCGAGTTGTAAGACCCAAACCCCGGAAATAAATATGTATATCAATATACTCTTGAAGGATTTTTTGGATTTTCCGTATCGTAAAACTGTATTGTATTGTCTATGACTAATACGTTTTGTTTGTGTTGCGTTTACGTGTGTGTGTGTGTATTTATGTGGTGGCCATCACTTTAAATGCCGTAAAAACCAGTTTCTTGGAAGTGGGTAAAATACCTTCGTTTTTATTAAGATTCTCATGCAATAAAATAATGTGCATTTATATAAAAAATACTAATACCTATTATTAAGCCAGACTGAACTAAATACATTATTATTTTAAAACCGAAAATCTCTTAAAGTTTGACCGATATATCGATATTTTTTCCTGGTGGTATCGAAGTTGATTTTACTTCTACACCCCTTTAATGAGTAATGACCTGCACCTGAGCGTGAAATATGAATGAAAAATAAAACCATAGACTTTTGTTCCTGACAACAAGACCCGAAGATAGGCACCGATTGTATGTATAATGTATATGTAGCTACACTCGACGTCTCGTGAAACAATATAATCTGAATCTCGGAAACGGCTCCAACGACTTTCATGAAATTTAGTACACAAGGGTTTTCGGGGGCGATAAATCGATCTAGATTAAACTACAGTCGTGCGTTTGGACCTGACACACATACAGACCTTTTTCACAATTTTAATTCATTTAATGAATACCAAATAAAATGTACGATTGACTGGGCTTTGCGGTTGATTTTTCCTTACGTGCTCTCCGCGCTCTATTTCTAAAACAGTAAACAAAAATCGTAGACGTCTACTACTTTCGTAATAGTGAGATATTGAAATCAAAAAAAAAATGATTAAATAATATTGTTATTATTATGTACCCATGAACGAAATAGCCACTTCGTTCATTTATGTACTGTATTTACTCATTCATGTATGATCCATGGATGAAAAATAAAGTTATGATGAGTATGATCTAAAACGTAGTGGTTACATTCTCTTTGCTATGATCTACACGGATTTTATTATAATCTGTTTACAGTTGTCATGTTGATAAATAAAATTGTATATAATCTATGGTTTATAAACTGATAAAAAATGAGAATTTATTTGTTGAAAATATTAATATTAAAAGATACTTGTTAATTTAATTTATTTTAATTTTAAAGTAATATAAAAATTAAATAGTTCGTTTAGGACAGTCAAAAGTATTTGAGATATTAGTTTCCATTTTTAAATTCTGACTGAATTTATTACTAACTACAAAATACAAATGAGTGATGAAAAGCAAACGGAGGATGTATCACAAACAGAAACATCAAATTTAGAAAATGTTAAAGATGGTGATTCAAAGGAGACTAGCGAAGGCGGAAAATCGGATAAAGTTAAAAGTAATGCCAGGTCTTACAATTGTAACGACAACTAATTAGTTTTAAACTTACAAAACTCTTTACACAATCTTTAAGATTGAAAACATAAATAGGATTGCATTTTAAAGAATATATCACATAATATACTACTAATTCTAAGATTAAATCAGTAACATTGATCTGTGAAACTTATTATGTTGTAAAGCATTAAAACATGCATATTTCCAAGAGATTTAATTCCACCTGTTGCTTTAGATTACATATAATTGTTTTCTTTATGTACATACATAATAAACGAATCGTACTTCATGTTGTACTGGCACTTTTAAATCAATAAATATTCTAATAGCTTATGTTCTTTCAGTTGACATATTATTAAAAGCAACAGGAAATGCACCTATAATGAAAAAGAAAAAATGGGCAGTAGATGCAGAAAAACCCATTGGTTGGGTTATGGAATTTGTGAAAAAATATTTAAAATTGGAGCCTGAAGAGAAATTGGTAAGTAAGTCATATTATTTTTGGTATGGTTTGAACCGTCACCAGGAGAATTGAAAAGCTGTCCACCAATTTCTTAATTAAGGTGCACACAAATTTTTTCTTGAAGCATTTTAATCTATTATTTTCTTCCCAACAACATGTTTGGCTCAGTTTGTAGTGATCCTACTTGTTGTGCCAGTGGTCGCGGGTTCGAGTCCTGCTGGGGTTGTTCATTTGTGTGACGAGCTTGAATGCTTGTACCCCCAGTCACTGGTGTTTATATTTATAATATGTATGTATTTAAAATAATATATGTATAGTTTATCAACTATCTGGTATTCATAACACAAGCCTCGTAGCTTACCATGGAACTAGAGTGCTGTGTGTTAATGACCCAACATTTTCATTTTCTGCTCACAGCTTTCTTTAGAAACATATTTTTCTGTAAATGTGTTCTTGAAGAAGGTATTTTTAAGTATGATGAAAAAAACATAAGAAAATCACTTAGGGGTTTTGTCTGTTTGTTCATTTGTCAGATCCTATTTTAAAAAAAAAGCTATTTGTCTTACTGATTATTTATTTTGTCTTTTCAGTTTTTGTACGTAAATCAAACATTTGCACCTTCACCAGACCAGCTAATAAAGAATTTATATGAATGCTTTGGTACGGATGGAAAGCTAGTGCTGCATTATTGTAAGAGTCAAGCTTGGGGCTGATAGATGATAAACATTTTGGAATCAGTTTGCAATTTTTATGACCATAGAACTGGGCTATTTGATATGATTTTTGCTGAAAAGTTGATATTAAATGATGTACTGTATATTTTATGAAAGTACATTTTTTTTATACCTAATAGGATCTACATTCTTAAGGAGTTTATAATTAAATATGTAATTCTGATACATTCTGATATATTTCCCTCTGAGAGGCATCCCAAATAAAGTTTGGATGAGCTCTATATAATAACAAATCCAAAATTTAACAAAAAATGTGAAATTGAAGATTGTAGGATTAAAAAAAAGTCTTTGTTTTAATCAAAAGTTATAATTAAAAAAAATATTATCAAAATCAAATCCATAATTAGTGAAAATATTGGCTAACATTTACCCAAAAAAATATATATTAAGAGGGACCGAGTACTTCTTTTTGAAGCCAATCAGCAAAAAAATGGCCCCATTATTTATGGAGATTTCAAAGGGATACATAAATATTAGTTAAATTGCATTTTTTATTTAGCTCATGTCATTTATTTCTATGCAGAATATTATTATTAGTTGCGAACGATATTTAGAAATTTTCCAAAGTGCTTAAAATGTTCACATAAAGTTTTAATATAAAAGCATTTTTTTATGTGATATTTTTAGTTTATAAGTTAACTCATAGTATAAATGTAAATAAAATTCATTAAAATTTTTAATAAATATTTATTCAATTGACATGTTTCAATTAAATTGACACAATATAGAATAAAAAAAGGAAATAAATGTTAAGTCCGTTTCTTATCACCGCTGCTGTTGACAAAGTCCTTACTTGTGGTCCTTGTTGGGAGATTGTCTAAAAAGAAAAATCCATTAGAAAAATATTTGATCCACATTTTAGTTGTCACTCACCCTAGCTCCGCTCGGGTTTGTCCGTAGTTACTTTTGAATGTTTAGTATAGATTTCTCATAGCTGATATATTTTGCCGCAGTAAAAAGTATCCTATATGTTGACGCGGATAACCAGTTATCATCATACCAAATTTCATCAAAATCTGTCCAGTGGTTTTATTGTGAAGCGGTCACAGACAGGCAGACAAAAATTCTAAAAACTAGATTTGGCCTCTGTATAGACAATAATGACTATTTCAATATGATTTTCCAAAAAAATATTTAATGTACAGATTCGACTCACAATGTTATGAACTTATTTTTCTTTAAAATTTTAATTAATAACTCGATTAACTTGGCCCGACCCAGGACTCGAACCCAGGTCCTCCGGGTGTGCACTGTGTGCAGCCATATATGCTAGCCACTACACCACCGACGCAGTTAAAAGAGGAGTAAGAATAAAACATGACAGTATGTCTCCGACTGCATAATACTATGTTCCTTACATCAACTTGTTCCTATTTATTTACATCGTTTTCTTAAGGTTGTATTTTTTAAAAAGAACTAAAAAAATAATACACCTGGAGGTCTACAGCATTTATTCCCAGCAGTACTGCTGGCAAGGTTCGGGGAACTCTTCTTAGACTTATCGGATGTTTTCGTTCTGTCCGTGTCGCACGGACAGCAGGAGTGCACGCTACCACGTGACGTGTCCATTGCTTCTATTTTTTCTATCTGAAAATGAATGAAATTAAAGAAAAAATTCGTATAATCAATAATGTATGTATATGTTATACAAATTATGAAAGAAAAAAAAACTACAATTAATACTTACTACTTGTGAGACATCTAACTTTAATCTGACAGTTAACTTGGAATTACGTTTTCATTAAGACCTAAATAATTTTTGCTTGCGGCCCTCGACACCGTGACTAAAACGTGTTTGTGGCCCCTAAAAAAAATTGTTGAGTATGGCTTGGTCTAACTGGTCTAACATTTGGTTTAAAATGAGACATTTTCAGTAGAAAGTGAGTGAAAGTATTTTCATTGTCAGTGTGTAAACGAAAATCCCAGTTACACCGAAGTTTGGCACCCCAAGTAGTATTCATTGTAGTATAAATATGTTATCTCTCAATAAATATATTTATTTATCAGGCACACAGACCACAGTCTACCTTCAAAATATCTAAAGACAAGTACTCGTAAATACAAGGTGCAATCGTATGACATAATTTTTTTCGTTATTCGGGGGTAGAAATAAGGCCTTATCGATACCCTTTATCCTTTCCTAATTTTGTTTAAATGATAATTTTTACCTTTGATGGCGCAGACGGTATTTTGTTGGGACGATCGCCGGCCGCTTTTTGCGTGGGTTTATCGTCTAGCTGTAACTTTAGTTCATCTTCTAGGGTTTTAGGGGAATCCGTTTTGAGTTTACCATTTTGTGAAGACGGTTTTTCACTTTGCAAGTACATCTGATGGAATGAAATGCATTGAATTAATTGGATATTGATATATTGTATTTTTGTAGATTAGCTTTAGTAGCTGTTTTCAAACGATAAGGGGTTTAGATAAAATATCATTCTACAATTGTTAAATAATAGAAATCTAAAAAAAATATATGAATAGATTAAAACCAATACAATTTCTAATGTTTTTTCGACGAAAACCAGACTTTGTACGGTTCACGGAACATAATATACCACGCTTGCCAAGTGCGGGTTGGTTAATTACCCATTGGCATTTCGAAAAGAAATAGGTTCTTCAATGCGAGTTTCGTCGTGACGATTTCCTTCACCACCATCAGGTAGCAATCACACAGCAATGATTCGCACATGAAAATGACTCCCTTAGTCAGAACCTTCACTCGATCTTGAACTTCACTTCTCTTAAGGACCTTTCCTGACCAAAAACCACCTAAAAACAAGCAGAACCCAAACCAAGTCCAACTCACCTCAGGCACCTTCCACACGATGATGGTGCCGGCGGCGCACGCGCTCACTATGAAGCGCGCGTCGGGGCTGAACCGGCAGCAGGTGACGGCGCCCGCGTGCCCGAGCCCCGCGTGCGTGTAGATACCCTCTTGGTACTTCCATAGCTTGTTATATTATGTAACATGAAGATATTGATTTGTATGTATGTATTGTATTCAGCCCCTTTCAACGTCCCACTACTGCGCACGGGCCTCCCTTCAATACGTGGGGGATCAGGCCATAGTCCACCACGCTGGCTAAGTGCGGGCGGACTGAGCATGTTTTACGAAACCTTGCTAAGTTCTCTCAGATATGCAGGTTTCCTCACGGTGTTTTCCTTCATCGTAAGACAAGTGGTAATAATGTTGGAAATGATTCGCACATGAAAATATCAGAGGTGCGAGACCCGGGATTTAAACCCGCTTCACTCGGTTTCCCAAGGGCGTTACCACTAGGCTACCGCGGCCTTAGATAATAATTTACTAACTACTTTTTAAATAAAACTATTATCTTTTCGGATTATTTCGCGGATTTATTTAGATTTTTGGGTACCCGACGTTTCGAATGCTTTACAGCAATCATGGTCACGGGAGAGACTAAGGTTAAGGTTAAGGAAAAGATAGTTTTATTTAGGTACGTTTTAAATAGATATAAGCAGTTATTAGCCAGCCTTAGCCATATATATTTTTTTTGTTTTTATTAATTTTTCTGATGTTTTAACACCTATTTAAATCCTATTCCGGACTAAGAGAAATCCAAAAAATCTAATATCATAAAAATTGGTCCAGCCGTTCTTGAGTTATAAATGGTGTAATTTGTTTGTTAAGAATAGCCGTTAACCATTATTATTTCGGTTTACTAAACCGTTAGTTTTCATTAATCGTTTAAATAGATCGTTTTTTTAAAACCGGTTCCGAACCCTGACAATCACATACTCTTAAAGTAAACCTTCGAATTTAAGACATTAGTCTGATGAGAATGTTTATACATAACTTACCTTCACCATCTGATCATTGCCGCCGGTAACGAAAAGCTCTCCATTTTGCGTTATATGCAGACCGTTGATAGCTCCCGTTTTGCTGGCTTCTAACTGGAATTATTTATTTAAATATAAAATATAAGTAAATTGTTTAAATATATATAATACTAGCGACTCACCCTCGCTCCGCTCGGGTTCGTCCCTAGGTGATTCTCTAAATTGACGTAATTTTTTTATTTATGAACCGATTGAAATAAAACAAATACTAATTATAAATAAATGTTAAGTGAAGCTTGCCACAATACATTAGCGAAAATCGCATCCAAATCGGTTAAGCCATTTCTGAGATTATCGCGCACAAACGCACAGACAAACCGACAAACACAAATATTCTAAAAATCATTGTTTTGGGTTCTATTGCGTAAATAAAGAATAATGATAGTTTTTCTCAAATATCTTCCATGTACAGACAGCGATCAGTTATACTTTTATTATATGTATAGATTGGGTATTATATCACGTAAAGCCGTCGGTTCTACGCCGGCTCTTTCATTTATTTTGTTGATTGTCCTATCACCGGAGTATGAGAGTGACAGGAATAGAGAGTGCACGTTGTGTCTGCGCTCTCCCTCACACGCGCTGCACTATAATATCTCCTGCGCAGTTGGCTAGTCTCAGTGAAATTGGCCGCCATGGCCGAAGTCGTTCAGGAGGGTATTACAACATATATACGATATGTATATCAATATGTATAGTCTACTAGGAGAACCCGCTGCTGTGTTGGCGCTAAAACAACAAAAAAAAAGGCAGGTTCCATACAAACTTTCATCCCCTATTTTACCCCGTTATGGGATGAACTTCGAAAAATGCTAAAACACGTATTTATTTAATTGTATTGAAGAGCATTATTACCAAGTTTCAAGTAATTTTGATCTTAAATATTTTTTTAGGTCGTATTATGACGTTTTTTCCCGTGGGAATGATATAATCTACCGCAGTAAAAAGTAGCCTGTATTACTCTCTAGCCCTTCATTTATCTACACACAAAATATGGTTATATGTATGTCCGACCTCCCTGGCCAGACTCCCGCTGCCGGCCTCCCAGTAGGCCACGCGGCGGTCGGAGCCGGCCGTGAGCAGCTGCGCGCCGCGCGGCGCGAAGCACGCGCACGTGAACAGCGTGTTGGCGTACAGCACCTGCCGCCGCGACAGCGAGCTGGGGGTGGTCATCAACGATAATACGTCAAACGTGTTTTTTTGCATATTCACTACTTTCAGTAAAAAAAGTACTAGATACACGAGGGTGGAGCTAAAAAAAGTAAAAATTGGGTAAAAAATGATCTTGAATGTTTTTAATTATGACCAGTCGAAAGAAATTTTTTCATTGAAACCAAAAATTTCAAATACTCAAAATGTTGAGTAAAAAAACTTTTTTATTTTGTTTAAGTAATTAATAATTATTCTTGTTGAAACCTTAAAAGCAATGCTTAAAGTTGTTTTTACAATATTTTTTATTAAAAGCGCGCTGAAATGTGCAAATGAGCGCTCATTCGATAAGGACATGTTTTGTCACTAATTGTGTCTAGTACTTTTTTGATCGATAGTTTTGTGGGTATTATTTAGCCAGCTTTTACATTGTTAGAATGTTTTTAGGATTCCGTAGCAAAATACTAAGAAATAATTTAATAGGCAAGTGTTTCATAATATAAACTGCAAGACAATTTCGACGTCAAATAACAAAAAATAAGAATTTATAAAATTTAGTCGTGGTTTTGTTAAAAAATCATAAAAAAATGTAAAAATTAACTACTATAAAACATTTTTCGACAGAACGTCACAGTAAGCCAAAAAAATAAGAAAACACATACATACAGTAAAGATTGAAAAAATAAATTAATTCTACATAAATGTGAAAGGTATCTCTGGATAGGTCTTTAAAATAAAGATATATGCTTATATGTGACTTCTTAGTTCAAGTCAACAGTTACAACAGCTTCTAAAGACGTAAACATCTCCAAACCTCCAAGAGGTAGCTAACTTTGCCGCCCTATATCTTGTACTAATATACCGGGTTGCTTTAAGTTCTTTATAACTGACTTCAAAAAAAGGAAGTTATTTCTAATTAAGACTCATATCGCATGTTTTTAAAATATATTTAAAAAAATTAAAAATCTTAAATTAAAAATGACCTATAGACCACACAAAAAATATACAAATAATGACAACCAAATTAAAAATATTTGACGTTTCATGGTCACGGGAGAGACCATGATTGCTGTAAACCATTCAAAACGTCGGGAACCAAAAATCAAAAAAGTCTGAAAAGATGGTTTTAATTCATAATAAAAAAAATATAATAAACCAAAAAAACCTAAAACTAATACAACAATTAATTAGAAACTCACATCAAATCCCATATAATACAAGAGCCGTCGGTGCCCGCGCTCACAGCCTCCGTGTCGTTGGGGGATACTTGTATGGCGGACACCGGGCTTTTGTGTTCTTTTAAAACTTTCTTCAAACTTTGACATTCCGGCCTTATATCCCATACACGTACCTTTAAATAAATTAATATTTTAATTAAATAAATATTACATGTAGGCATCGATCAAAAAACTACTAAATACACAATCAGCGACAAAAAAATTTTTCATCGAATGAGCGGCGCTTATTTGAACATTTGAGCGCGCTTTTAATTTGAAAACAAATTGTGAAAAAAAAACTAAGCATTGCATTAAGAACTTTTTTTAAAAAAAACTCTCTTAAAGCACACTAATAAAATCCATACTGGGCGTTCGGCCATTGATTGTAACAAAATGCAGTCAAATGCAAGATTGACATTCCGGCCTTATATCCCATACACGTACCTTTAAATAAAATAATATTTTAATTAAAAAAATATTACATGTAGGCATCGATCAAAAAACTACTAAATACACAATCAGCGACAAAAAATTTTTTCATCGAATGAGCGCTTATTTGAACATTTGAGCGCGCTTTTAATTTGAAAACAAATTGTGAAAAAAAACTAAGCATTGCATTTAGAACCTTTTTAAAAAAAACTCTCTTAAAGCACACTAATAAAATCCATACTGGGCGTTCGGCCATTGATTGTAACAAAATGCAGTCAAATGCAAGATGACAGGTTTGGCTCAGTTTGTAGTGACCCTACTTGCTGTGCTAGCGGTCGCCGATTCGACTTCCGCTGGGGGCATTCATTTGCGTGATGAGCACGAATATTTGTACTCCAGTCATGGGTGTTATATATATAATATGTATGTATTTAAAGTTATATAATATGTATAGTGTATCAACTATCTGGTATCCATAACACAGGCCTTGTAGCTTACCATGGAACTACTCGTAGATGGTGCTGTGTGTGTTAATGAGTCAATATATAAAACTAAAACCAAACAATACCTGTCCCTCACAGCCACCAGATATGAGAGTGCGTCCGTCGCGGGTCATGTCGAGGGCGGAGGTGCCCTTGTTGTGGGTGTTGTATATGCAGTAGATGAGGCGGCCGGTGAGCGGCGTGAAGGCGCGGATGTTGCCGTCGTTCCATGCTAAGACGTCAACAAATTTCATATATAAGCTTATATTATCCTGAAAAAGGATGTAGTAGTCCAATGGCAGCGCGTTCAGAACATGTTATATCAAAAGAAATTCTTGTAACATGCTATTGTTTTTTTCTTATTTTTAATTATTCATAAATATTGTCCAACAATCTCTAACTCTTCGGAAATCTTCCGGGTCCGTCACCCCGCACTCAGCCAGCGTGGTGGATTATGGCCTGATCTCCCTCGTATTGAAGGGAGGCCCGTGCTCAGCGGTGGGACGGAACGGGAAGAAGGGCTGAATAATAAGTTTTAACACTTTTAAAACCATAATTTCCCCCGTGACCATAATTGCTGTAAAGCATTCCGAAATATCGGGAACCAAAACTCAAAATAAATCCGCGAAAAAAAAACGAAAAGATATTTTTTTGTAATTTACCTATGTAATAAAGTGTCAATAAAAGACAAAATAACACAAACCAGTAACAATAGACTTGCCGTCGGCAGAGAACAGAAGGGAGGAGCAGGTGAAGTTGGGCACGACGATGCGCAGCAGCTCGCGCGCGGTCGCCGCACACCACACGCGAACGTCACCCGCGCCCGCGCTCGCGAAAACGCCCGACATACCCCTGCACCCCTCACACATATACATTTCTCACAGATGAGATATTTTCCCGCAGTAAAAAGTATCCTATATGTTGACCCGGATAACCAGCTATCGTCATACCGAATTTCATCAAAATCTGTCCAGTGGTTTTCTCGTGATACGATCACAAAACAAATTTTTATATATGCGTTTGTATTCAGAATTCAGATATGTACACGAAGCGTTGTATAAACTATTACAAAGTATTTTATTTGTATAAACTTTTTAAAAGCTCACAAAAAATCACAAACAAACCTTGGAAAAGCAATATCATTAACTGCGCATCTATGACAAGTGACCACCAGCATGGGGTCGAAGGTGGCCACGTTGATGGCGTATATCTCACTCGTCCTGGTCCCCGCCAGGAGCAGACGTTTATCCCCTTTCAATGATGGTGCTTCCATCAGTTCTAGGGATGTTATGCTTCCCATGACTTTTGTGCTTTTGAGCTGTAAGAGATTAAGTGGTATAGTTATATAATGACGACACGTTTGTAGTGATTCTACTTGCTGTGCCAGCGGTCGCGGGTTCGAGTACCGCTGGAGGCATTCATTTGTGTGTTGAGCACGAATGTTTGTTCTCCAGTCATGGGTGTTTATATTAATAATATGTATGTATTTAATTTTTAAAGTAATTTATATGTAGTGTATTAAATATCTAGTATCCATAACACAAGCCTAGTATTTTAAATAAAACTATCTTTTCGATTTTGATTTTGATTAATTTTGATTTTTAGTTTCCTCATATTATACTTATATATATTAGCGAGAGGCGATTAGGAGAGCGAGAGGGACTGCATATTTTACTATAAGTTCATTCAATAAAACTCCATTGTCCGTATTCAGCCCTTTTTAAGCGAGCGCGTTACCACTGGGCTACCACTACCTTTTCTCCATTGTTCATCATTTTTTATAACAGAAATCAATTTTCTTACCGCTCTGAAATGAGGTTTGTTTGGGTCCAACACTTTGCCTTTAGGGAATTGCCCCTTCCAGTTAATCTCGTCCAAGATGTCGATCGTGCCGTCGCCAGCGCCGACGATCAAACAGCCATCAGTCATTATCAGTATCGATTCTATACCTAAGAAATAATAAGACAAAAAAGTTCAGCCATAGTTCACTTTTAATTTATTTAGGTACGTAGGTACGTATTTATATTTCTAAAAATAATTTCTTATCACCTCCAGGTAAATTTCTAAGAAATCTATTGTTAACTGACACGCCGGCGTGTCCGCGGTCTTGGAGGGATTATCTCATTCTTTTACCCATCTTTAATTTTTAGAAGATAATATCTATAATTTCATATCATCCCCCGAGAATGTACTGCCTAAAACTTTCAATTATCATAGTAATTAAAAAAAATCCAATTTTATCCACTCAAATTTTTACAAACACGGTTTTTAAACAAACTTCCATCCCCGTTTTAACCATTTAAGGGTTGTTTTTTTCCAACTTTTAATTTTCGCTTAATATCAATTTTATAGCATTAATATATTTTCAAACATTTCGTGATTAATCATATTTTACCCATTTACCTTGGCTATAACACAACGACTCTGGCCTCTTGCCTTTCCTCCAGGGCCCGCATTTGGCTAAACACCCTATAAGCGAGGGTTTACAATGCGCTATTGAAGCCATGGGATCTGAAGGGTAGTTGATGGAAAACTTTATCATATCACCAGATCTAAAAAATATAAACACTTGTATACATAAAAACTCTATATATTATTACTGACCGGGTCTTCCTGTGTAATAAATTTCATCAAAATCTGTCCAGCCATTAGCGTGAACGAGTGACGAACTTACGTATTTAAAATAAATAGTATCTCGATAGTATAATTTTTCTGTACTTCAAAATAATGCTTTAAATTATGCTCCATTTTTTTTGTCTTTTAACATTTTTATTTTAATTAGGTACATATACCTAGCTTCATAAATACCCTTTTATTTGATACACCATGTAATGCATTGGCTTTTTTACCTAGCTGACTATTCTTTGAGTATAGGGCCTATACAAATAAATAAATAAAAATGTTGGGACATTAACACACAGCACCACCTAATTCCATGGTAAGCAACGAGGCTTGTGTTATGGATACCAGATAGTTGATACACTAAACATTACTTAAAATACATACATATTATAAATATAAACACCATTCGTGCTCATATAACAAATGAATGTCCCCAGCGGGACTCGAACCCAACATGTTAGGGATATTTACTCATAGATCTATAATATTGACTTTAAATTCCAATTACTTGTTACTTAAAATCCAAAAAACATAATTTATCTGGAATATGGTCTTACGTAGTCCCCGCAATACCATACGCGTCGTCCTGGCTGACGGCAATACACCGAACACATCGACGCAGCTTCCCCAACGACACGTCCACTACATCAAGGTTCTTACTATCCGCCCGAATGTTCCACACGCGAAGATTTGCTGATTTATCAAATCATATCAAAATATAACTTCAAAAAGACTTTTATAAGCAATTGTTGTGATTCGTCGATTTTTACATATTATACATTTTTTTAAATTCAAATCAAACGTATGTAAGTCCTTGAAGAAGCTACTACTGGCTCAGAAAGCAGTTCTGCTGAATAATTTTTAAATAATGATATATAGCAATATATTTGGAAATAATTCTCATACTAACAATCTCCTCCAGTAACGAAGGAGTTAACCCTTAAACACAACGCAGTCAGGGTCATGGCGTCCCCTGTGGTCAGCCTGGCCGCTGCCGCAGTACCCGTGGCCGAGCCGGCCACACAGTCCCATAACACCACCGACCCATCGTCACGTCCCCCGAGAGATATCATATACCGCTCGTCTGAAGAAAAAGCTAAAGCTTCTACTCGTACCTAGTAAATAAGTGATGGAATTAAAGGGCGCCTATTAGAAGACGCTCACTCCTGACATAAAGGTTTTATCTAGGTAGTTTTCCAATTACAGCACTAAAGCGCATTATGCGGCATAATGCACAACTTTAGATTTTTCAACTACAGTAACGCTCCGCACAGTCGAGCACTTTGAAAAGTACTGCTTTGGTGTGATGCGCGCAACGAACACCTACTCTGTAGCAGAAAATATAACATATTCATGTTTGTGCGTCAAATGCGGCATTATGCTCCGTAATTGGAAAACTAGGCTAGTCAGAGGCTTCAACAGGCTTTAAATGTAACAACTGAACAATTGTGCTAATAAAGAAATATTGTATTGTAAAGTTTTTGAGGGTTTTTATCGATTTTTAGGGTAACGTTGTATAACACTGATTTACCTGTTTAAAAATAAACAGAGTAGGTAAATTATTATTTTGTATGCAAAAAAGTTGAATACTATAATCATGGAACACAGTAATTATAATTATTTATTATGATATAAGCAAATTTCATCTAATTCTGTTCAGTAGATACAGAGATTACCCCCTACAACGTCACAAACTCACAATCTCACAAAATTTACCTTTTTATTATATTAGTATAGATAAATACACAATTAAAATTCTTTTTTCATACTTAATAATTCTGCAACTATTTATCTCCTTATGGTACCTAGTCTAAAAATGTGGAATTTATTTAATAAAGTAGGTACGTACCTTATGCAACTCATGGCTACCAATCATATTTTTTTTCTTAAAATTCCATAACTTAGCAGATGCTTTAAAACCAATGTGATTTATTTGTCCTGAGCCTATAAAAGTGCCCTTAGGTGACACAGCCACAGTCGATACACTATTCGTATGCCCACTAAGAAAGCACATTTTCTTTGTCTTCCACTCTTGTATGCAAACTTTGTTGCCCATAGGGTACACAATATGTTCCCCATCAGGATGAACATTAAGTCCGCGAATAGCAGAACCTATTACAATAAAATTTTATTAGTGTACCGACTTTTACAAGGGGTGTGTAGTACCTATGTGTAAGAAATTATAAGCTGATTTCATCATAAGGTGGTCCCATATAAATTGCACGATTTTGATTGTCTTTAACAACTATATACTTGAGACATCTAAAACCTTAGTCTGTCCCGTGACCATTACTGTTGTAAAGCATTCGAAACGTCGCGTACCAAAAATCTAAATATATTCGCGAAGTAAACCGAAAATATACGTTTTATTTAAGATTGCGAGATTTTTTTAAATCCATATCTAGGTACATTTAATAAGTTTATTACAGCAACATATAGGTTGTTCTATACACTAGAGTTAGACAAGTACCTAATAATAGATTTCCATATTAATGTAACTTGTATGTGATCCAAATTGTTTAACAAATTCCACTTACCATCAAATCCTATAATTGCGTACGGCTCTAAATTCTTTACATCCATGTTGTGTTCAATATTATTATTAGAAATTATTATACAAAATAAATGCTTTCAAACTAAAAACAACTGTTGCAACATCTACAGCATTGTTTATTGTTGCTAGGAAACTGTTTCTATGGTGACGGGCTAGCGGTTTTATTATAACAATAAGTATAATCTGTGGCTTGTAATTACAGGTTCGATTTTCACATAGATATATGACTATTACTACGTGTTTTCGATAATCTTTATCGTGTATGCGATCTCGGTTTGCGTTAGTTTCCCTGATTGCGGTTGAAAATATAAATATTGTAATTTTTTCTTCTAGCGTCTGAAGGTTTAAATGTCTAAACTTAAAACTAAAAAAACTTTTAATATACCACACAAGCAGAGCAATGGACAAAAACTAGTATATAGTTATATTTATATAAATATAGGTACTTGTACAAACTATAATAATCTATACCTACAGAAAAATAATATTGAAGTGTCTATTTTATGATGTCAAAATATGTAACAGGTTTTTACTAAATGCAAATGAAATTATAAACGGTACATAAAAGAAAAATTCAATTTTTATTATACAATTTTTGTTTGTTCTGGCTAATCTCGGAAACAGCTGGACTGATTTTGAGGGAACTTTGACTGGCAGAGAGCTGATGTTATAAGGAGCAACTTGGGCTACTTATGTTTTAGAAAAAGAATTAGGAATCCATTCAAAAAAATTAAAACATACCTAGGGACGCAACCAAGCGAAGCAAGGGTAAGTCTGGCAACTTGTATAAAGGGGAAAAAAATGTTTTTGATTGTAATGGATAAACTAAGAATCCGCTGAACTGATTTAGATCTAATTTCATATGAAACTAGTTGAGACCCTGGGAAGGACATAGGATGGTTTTGAGTCTTTATTTGTGAAGAAATTTTTTTTGACTGTATTACACAAATTATTCAACATATTGAGATAAAACTTGGCATAAAGATGTGTCATGTTATGAACTAATATAATATAGATTATAGGATATTTTGTATTAGTAATGCTAATGGCTGTTATTTTAATATAAAAATTGTAAGAACAAATTAAGCTGCCTAAAACATTGAAAAAAAAACTATTTTCATACAGAGGATGGGCTGAAACTAGGGCAGTAAAACTATTTTTAAAAAACCAATCAAGTTTAATCGAATAATCTTATCATTATTAACATGTAATTCATCACTATAACAAAAGCTTAAACACTTTAATATCATTTAATACATAAACAATTACAAATTTTATTATTTATCCAATTATAATTAAATATTATTTATGAATACAAAATTGAGGATTTAAATATTCCTGACATACCTAATACTATTGTGCAACTAAATAAAATAGAAGTGTCTGTTTGTATTGTCAAAATATTTTTTTTTACTAAATGCATATGAAAGTATATACAATATTAATAAGAAAAAAAAAACAATTTTTAAAATTTTTGTCTGTCTGATCCAGCTAATCTCTGAAATGGCTGGACCAATTTTGACGGGACTTCACTAGCAAATTGCTAATGTTATATACAGTAACTTAGGCTACTTTTATTTTAGAATAAGAATCAGGATTCCGTGCCAAGAAATTAAAACCTATGAAATTGTGACCAAAACTTGCATATTTGGGAACGCACCCAAGCAAACCAAGGGTAAGTCACTAGTTTAAAATAAAGTTTTAATGAAGTCCAAATCTGTTGTCAGCAATAATAAGGAATCCTTATCTTCAAAACTATTTTCAGTTTTATACTTCAGTCTTTGTGTGCCGAATGAAAACAACTAAAATGAAAGCCATATAATGTAGGTACAATGGAGTTTATATACATATATTTATGTTTAACTGTATTTCCATCATATTACAGTGAATAGTCAAATTCTCATTCAGCTGATGAAAGTAACCTTTTTCTTCCTAGACATCTTCTCTTTGTGGTCTTTGCTTTCTCATCAACCTGTTCTTTTGCTACTTCAGCACGTCTTTTTGTCTCATTTATTATGTATTGTTTTATTACAGACAGGAATTCTGATAGCTACAACAAAAAAATAATTATGTATATGTACAATTAGTGCGTAATTATTGTTATTTTTGTAATAGTAATGCTTACCAGTAAGTCGTCTTCGTTTTTACCAAGCTGAACAAATGCACACTTAGCTGCATGACTTTTATGTTCAGCCCATGGATCATCACTAGATTCCCAACCATCTAATTCTTTACCACAAAGAAAGCATTTTGCAGCATCAGCGTCTTCTTTTCCAGTTGCTACTGAATAAAATCCAGCTTCGGCCATATTACGAACGTTACATTTATTTTTATCACTAAACGGCCAATTCTTAAATGTTTTAACTCGTTCTTCAACTAGAAATAAAGATGGATTTTCCATTTTTATAATATTTGATTAAAAACACTATTCAAATCCGTTATGTACCGATTAATTATTTGAAAATGAAATATTCGTATTTGACAAAAACGACGTTCGGTTTGAAGTTTGAATTTTGTATTCGTCGTTATTTGACATAAACTACATCCACAGACTAAGACATAAACTAGAACTTTTATTATTCATATATGTGACTTTACGTCTGGTATTATTTTAATTTTCAGTAATGAATTATACAAAATTATTTCATACTATGTTAAGTGAAAACATATGAAGTCATTAAAAAATAAAATTTGTTTATAAAAGTAACTTATACGTGGAAGAATTTTGCCTGTTTCTCCCGCCAGATGTCGCGATCACTATGATCCTTAGTATATTGTAAAGCTATATACCTAGAGTGGATGGATTTTTTCATTTTATTTAAAAGTTAATTAAAATGACAAATTCTAGTAGTAGTGTGCATGTGTATTGTGCGTCCCCGGTACCTGTATATGTATTGTACGAGGTGCTATAAGCTATTATTAAAGAGGAGTAATAAACGAACCTTGGATCCAAACAGTTGTCTCGTTTTGTTCCCACATTACATGGCGACCCCGCCAGGCGGTGTAGATGCAAGCGCTACACGAGGTACTCACGCCGTCCTCGGAAAAACTAAGAAGGTAATTTAAATTATTATTGAATTTGAAGAAAATAAATACATAAATTAAATTATAAATAGTATAAAAACTATGTAGAGAAAAATGGAAGACAGAAAAAAAGAAACATTTTTTTAACGAAAATGAAGAATAAATTACGAACAAAAAAGAAGTTGGTACCTAACAAACACATTTTAGAACTATAATGTACAATGTACATATATAATAGAAACTGAGATTGACAAGGATATTTATATATGCTGGTTCCCCAAAAACCAAACTGATCTGCTTAATCTGAGAAAAAATATACAAAATATATACTTCTAGAATGTTTGACAGTAATTTTATGAGCAAAAATAAAAATACTGTTCTTGCCAACTCAAGAATAAATAAATATAAATATGTTGCGACATTAACACACAGCACCATCTAGTTCCATGGTAAGCTACGAGACTTGTGTTATGGATACCAGATAGTTGATACATTATACATATATAACTTTAAATACATACAAATTATAAATATAATCACCCATGACTGGAGCACAAACATTCGTGCTCATCACACAAATGAATGCCCTCAGCGGGACTCGAACCCGGGACCGCTGGCACAGCAAGTAGGGTGGGTCACTACAAACTGAGCCAAATGTGCCGTCGAATCCGAGAAGAACATCTAGTAAAAATGAAGAAAATAATGTCAGAAGGTTTGGAAAAATGAAACGAAAAGGAAATCACCATAGACATCATCTATACTACCGAAGTTTGCATAAAAATTAGAATTGTTTTATCTAGTTACGATATGTTTTTTTTGTAATAGCAAATAATAAAAAATATTACTTATACTTATAATATATATAGGTCAGAGTTTTGTAATACGTAACAAAAATTGTAAATTCTAAAAAAATATTGTAATTTAAAATCTAATGGTTATTTCGTATATAACTTTTAATATTTATCATTTGATAATTTTGTTCGGTTTTTTTTAAACAATTATACACCAAAGTAGGTACATTTATTACAATATATCAAACCTTTTGTAAAAATTAAATAGCTTCATAACTATTAATTGGACTAAAATATTGCATGGAAACTGTTCCAAGCCACGCTTCATATAACCTGTTACGTGTACGTGTAAGTACCTACATGGAAAGGAATACGTACACTAATATGATTTTAAATTCAACTCTTTAAAAAAAAAGACAAAATTAAAGTTTGATTTGAAATCAATTTTTTTTGTTTAATGACCAGCATAAGAAAACGGTCAAATAATTAAATTTTTTTATCATTATGTTTGGGTACTATAATTACTCTAAATACATGTTTTTTTTTTATTACTATATGAAAAAAAGTCTAGAGATAAGATTTTAGATTGTTGGTAGTAGATAATTAGACATCTAGGAATTTAAACTTAATAAAACTGAAATTATAACTTAGATTACATGTTTTAAGGACAAGAACTTAGTGGTAGAAAGGCTAAAATGAAAGGTATAAAAAGCGAATGAAGATAAGAATATTTTTGAGTGAGCTTTAACTGTAGGTAAAATAGAATGGAAGGAATTAAGAATTGGTTTCTATTGACAGTTAGCTTTTGCACCGATGACCGGTCTGATCAAAAGATAACCGATAATCGTGAAAATACTAATCTATCTATACCTACATAAAATAAAATTGTAACTAAGTCGAATCTGTACATTAAATATTTTTTGGAAAATCTAATTGAAATAGACATTATTATCGATGCAGAGTCCGAATCTATAGTTTTTAGAATTTTTGTCTGTCTGTCGGTCTTTGTATCGATAATAATGTCTATTTCAATAAGATTTTCCAAAAAATATTTAATGTACCGATTTGGCTTAGTTACAATTTTATTGTATGTAGGTATAGATATACGTAATATGATAAGATTTATAAGTAGGTAGTAGACTCATAACGTTCAGTAAAAAATTGTAATGATTTAATGCTAAATAGAATGTTTTGAATTTGAATTAATTATAGAGATTTTTTTATAATATTTCTTCAAAATGAATATATTTAATTATATACAATACATATATATATATACACATCATTTTACAAAAAGTGATTTTAAAACTCTTAAATCGTCTACAGATGAATATATTTTTTTATTTTTTGTACTTTTTTACATATTAATTACAGAGTTCCATACAAGCTTTCATACCCCAATTTTATCCCCTTATGGGATTAAATTTCGAAAAATGCTAAATCATGTATTTATTTAATCGTATTGTAAAGCATTAATACCAAGTTTCAAGTAATTCTGATCATTAATAATTCTTCACTACATCACTACATATTATAAAACAAAGTCCTCCGCCGCGTCTGTCTGTTTGTTCGTGATGAACTCAAAAATTACTGCACCGATTTTCACGCTGTTTTCACCAATGGATAGAGTGGTTCTCAAGGAAGGTTTTTAGTGTATAATTTGTTAAGTTTTTGTATACATTGACTAAAATATAGCGATATTTGTTGGAGTTGTCGGAAATAAATAAGCCGTCTGGGAGCTTTCACGAAAACGCTGCATAAATAAGCCCTTTGAGACATAACAAAATAATGTATGGTGGAATTGTGTATCTAATATTAGTCTACAGGAAAGTCCACGATGGTATATGTCTATTTCTTAAGGGTAACATACTATATCCATTTTTATACTTTAAAAAATTGGCAATTATAATACGGTAATGTAAAAGCTATTTACACAAATTCGGTATTAATCCTAATCATTTTAAATAAGTTAGAGGCTTCAGGGCATTTCATGCACATTATTTTACTCTTTTACACGATATAATTTAAATGAATATCTTATGAGTAATCGCAAAATTTTTACGGATATTTTTAATATTTGTTAATTTTAATTTTAAACATTTTAAGAATTTTAATTACTTCTATAATTGAATATGGGGTATTATTTACTTCATTTTAGCTAGCTAAAATTAAAATTCTATTCTTAAAAAAAGTGACGTGAATATTGGTGGCTTAACTTAAGAGGCCTATTACCTACATTATGATCGTGATTTTTAAATTTAATATCCATCTTTGACGTTCTTATTCAGAGAAACTGAAACTCTTCGACAATTTTGACTTATTGTATACCTAGTGGAGAATAGTTATTAATATAGTTCATACAGGCCTCGCCTTTCGAGAATTTTTATTATTAATTGAAATAAAGCCAAAATTCAGAAGCAAGTTTTTAATAAAAAGAGCGATGGTACTTTTTCAAGTTCATGGATTGAAATATTAAGCAAACGAAATGAAAAATATTTAATTACATCTCTTAAATAGTGGTTGAGTTTATAGCGGCCTCCAAATTTGCTAATATGTATTGGATTTCTACAAAAAAAAACCTTTTCAAAATCTTAAAAACTATTAAAAACGTTCAGAATTAGCTGTAAATATATTATCCTTATAACATTAATATTATTAAGTAAAGTTTATACCAGAATCTACAGAATGTAACAGAATGGCAGTTCAAAAGAAACGTAATTACACACTTTTTTTAATAATTATAAAACTTTACATAGAAGTAATTACAACTGCAGGAAATGCTAGAAAAAACTCGAACTCAATGCCAAAGAACTCAGTACCTTTTGTAATAAGTCTCTTAATAATTAATATAATTATTCCAAAATAAAATTGTGTACCGAAGCGTAAACTGTGTGAATACTTAAATAGCATTTACAATGATATGGGCCGGTGGATTTACTCGCAAAAAACTTTTTCCAAGAAAATATAAAAAAACATGAGTCAAACTAAACTAAATCATTGATATATTAATGTAATACAAAATATATATTGCTTTTAAACAAAAAATTTGAAAGGTACATCCAATGATATTCGTTTTTAAAAATAAACAGGCGATATGGCGAAGATGACCATGGTATGGTGTCGAGTTTTCATAGATGGTAATGATTTTATCTGCATGGTAATGATAGTTTATTAATGTACATTTAATCTTTTAAAGGAATAAAATCTACTTAAATCAATGATTTATTACAGTTATCTATAGATATAGGTAATAAAATTCTAACTAAGCCGAATCTGTACATTGAATATTTTTTGGAAAATCTTATTGAAATAGACATCATTATCGATACAGAGGCCGAATCTATAGTTTTTAGAATTTTTGTCTGTCTGTCTGTTACCGCATCACGGAAAAACAACTGGAGGGAATTTGATGAAATTTGGTATAGTGATAGCTGGTTATCCGGGTTAACATATAGGATACTTTTTAGCGCGGGAAAATATTTTATTTCTGAGAAAAAATACAAAAACTGCATTGTAAGAGTATACTAATATATAAAACTTACGGATTTGGTTTTTGGTCATCTGAACGCGGGCGGAGCCGCGGGCA